TAGACAAGTCTCCTGAAACAAGGGGGAAAAAAAGCAAAAATAAACTATTGGGACTACATCAAAGTAAAAAAGCTTCTGGACAGCAAAGAAAACAATCAGTAAAACTAAAAGACAACCTACTGAATGGGAGAAGATATTTTTAAATGTCATATCCAATAAAGGTTTAGTATCTAAAATATATAAAGAACTTATACAACTCAACACCAAAAAAGCAAATAATCCAATTAAAAATGGGCAGAAGATCTGAACACACATTTTCCAAAGAAGACAACCAGATGGCCAAGAGACACATGAAAAGGAGCTCAACATCACTCACCAGAGAAATGCCAATCAAAACTACAATGAGATATCATCTCACACCTATCAGAATGGCTAAACTCAAAACCCCAAGGAAGAACAAGTGTTGACAAGGATCAAGAAAAAAAGGAACCCTTGTGCACTTTGGTGGGAATGCAAACTGGTTCAGCTGCTGTGGAGGTCATACAGTATGAAGGTTTCTCAAAATAGTAAAAATAGAATTACCATATGATGTAGTAACTCCAGTACTGGGTATTTACCCAAAGAATGTGAGAACTCTAATTTGAAAAGATTTATGCACCCCTGTGTTTATTAATTACAGCATTATTTACAACAGTCAAATTATGGAAATAACCCAAGTGTCCATCAATAGATGAATGGATAAAGGTGTGATATACACACATATACACACGTGCACGCACGCACACATACACAATGGAATATTACTCAGCCATAAAAAAGAATGAAATCTTGCCATTTGCAACAACATGGATATAGCTAGAGTATAATGCTAAATGAAAGAAGTCAGTCACAGAAAGACAAATATCATACGATTTCACTCATATGTGAAATTTAAGAAACAAAACAAACGAACACAGAATAAAAGAGACAAATGACTTTTGAATTTAGACAACAAACTGGTTACCAGAGTAGAGGTGGGGGGCATGGGTAGAATAGATGAAGGGGATTAAGAGTACCTTTATTGTAGAATGTCCAACGGAAAAAAGACAGTCTCTTCAACAAATGGTGTTGGAAAAATTGGACAGCCACATGCAGAAGAATGAAACTGGACCATTTCCTTACACCACACACAAAAATAGACTCAAAATGGTTGAAAGACCTATATGTGAGACAGGAGTCTCATTTTTCCAAAGAAGACATCAAAATGGCCAACAGACACATGAAAAAGTGCTCAACATCGCTTGGCATCAGGGAAATCCAAATCAAAACCTCAATGAGATACCACCTCACGCCAGTCAGAATGGCTAAAATTAACAAGTCAGGAAACGACAGATGTTGGCAGGGATGTGGAGAAAGGGGAACCCTCCTACACTGTTGGTGGGAATGCAAGCTGGTGCAGCCATTCTGGAAAACAGTATGGAGGTTCCTCAAAAAGTTGAGAATAGAGCTATGGTATGACCCAGCAATTGCACTACTGGGTATTTACCCCAAAGATACAAATGTAGTGGTCCGAAGGGGTATGTGCACCCCAATGTTTATAGCAGCAATGTCCACAATAGCCAAACTATGCAAAGAGCCAAGATGTCCATCAACAGATGAATGGATAAAGAAGATGTGGTGTATATATACAATGGAATATTATGCAGCCATCAAACTCCCCCCCCCCGAAATCTTGCCATTTGCAACGACATGGATGGAACTAGAGGGTATTATGCTAAGCGAAATAAGTCAATCAGAGAAAGATATGTATCATATGATCTCACTGATATGAGGAATCCTTAATCTCAGGAACAAACTGAGGGTTGCTGGAGGGGTGAGGGGTGGGAGGGATGGGGTGGCTGCGTGATAGACATTGGGGAGGGTATGTGCTATGGTGAGCACTGTGAATTGTGTAAGACTGATGAATCACAGACCTGTACCTCTGAAACAAATAATGCATTATATGTTAAAAAAAAAAAAAAGAAGATAGTAGGAAGGGAAAAATGAAGAGGGGGGGAATCGGAGGGGGAGACGAACCATGAGAGACTATGGACTCTGAGAAACAAACTGAGGGTTCGGGGGGGGGGGGCGGAGGGATGGGTTAGCCCGGTGATGGGTATTTTTTTTTTTTTTTTTTTGTTTTGTTTTGTTTTGTTTTTTCCGGTGATGGGTATTAAAGAGAGCATGTACTGAATGGAGCACTGGGTGTTATACGCAAACAATGAATCATGGAACACTACATCAAAAATTAATGATGTAATGTATGGAGATTAACATAATAAAATTAAATTTAAAAAAATAAAGAGTACCTTTATTGTGATGAACACTGCGTAATGTATAGAATAGTTGAGTATATTGTACACCTGAAACTAATATAACACTATATGTTAAAATTTTTTAAAAAAGAAAATAAAGCAATGGAATAAAAAAAGGGGAGGGCGATGGTAAAGAGTGACTTACATGTAGATCAAAAAAGGCTAAACACTAGACCAGGGACTTGGCAAACTACAACAGTTCAAAACCAACCTGCTGCCCGTTCTAAATAAAGTTTAATTGGCATTCAGTCACACCTTCATTTACACATTGTCTATGACTGCTTTCACCCTGGAAGGGCAGAGTTGAGTGGTTCTGACAGATGGTATGGCCCACAAAGCCTAAACTATTTACTACTTGTCTCTTCACTAAAAATATCTGCCATCCCCTGTCCTACACTAAGAGCTCCCTACGCTCTCATATATTTGCCTGAGCATTTATTAAGGTCTGGCACAAGGCACAAGCTCACGCAGCTGTTGAATTAATGAATTAATGAACAAGAGACCATTAGATTTGGAAGCAATCGATGACCTTCAAGAAAGCAACTTATGAAGCATGGATGCTGAAGCAGTCAGAAAGGAGGTGGTTACAGACTCAAAACAGAAGAATGAAATTTGGAGAAATGGGAGCTACTTATCTTTGACAAGAAGGTAAAGAAAAGGTGAGTAATAGTTTGGAAACTTTCTAAGGTGAAGAGTGAGAAAATGGAAGGAACTTACCTTGGATCATTTGATCTCATATTTAAGACCATACTCAATTTGCAAATTGAATATGGAAGAACTTGGGGCATAAAGAAAAAAATGAGAATATTTGGGAATGTCTATATGGGAAAAGTGGCTAAAAGTGAAAAAGGATGAAAAAGCTCACTGAGCAGGGGAGGAGCGTCACCTCAAAGATGACAGCACAAATGGGGATGCTAATTAAGCAATGATATATGAACACATGGAGATTTTGTGTAGAGGGGTGGATTTATGAGCATTTGTTTTTTTGTAAGTCTGAGTTCCATATACCACAGTGAGAACCCAAAACCCAAAAGGACTTCAGATAAAGTCAATACTCAATTACCTGTGCACTTTTTAATTTTCTGGCTCAGAGAAAGAAAATGGGTAACTCCAAATATTATCATCCTGTGATTGACACTTGACATAAAAAGTCCTCAGGTCTGACAAGTACTCGAGAAACCCTTTATTATTCTTAGTGATGATTAGTCAAATAAAGGATCTGTAGCTCCTTAGAGCAGGTTCTTGATCAGATGGGAGGAGTCAGGAGCCAAAGACAGCATGGCTAGAAGACATGGAAGGTGCGGCATCTGGAGTCACATCATTTTTCTCTCACTTATCTATCTGACCCATCAGAAGAGAAAAGAGGGAAGATGAGGGTCAAAACAGGGACAGCAATGTAGAGAAATAAAATTTCTCTTTATTTTTATTGGTATCTTAATCTAAGTGCCACACACTATCTTTTCCTCATTACTAAATCAGGAAAAAGAAAGAGATTCTACTGGTAGTATACCAAAGCAAGAACCTTTTCAGTGTTGCTGGTATTTGCATAGACATGAGGAAATTACAGAAAAAACTTTTGAGAAGTACTTGAATTAGATATACGACCATGAATCTCCCCTTGGCCCTTAAGGCTGCCCAGTCACCAAACTGTGCTTCTCTAGAACATGGGCCTCCGACTTTCCTAGACAGTTGCCATATTTCATTAGGCCTTTGACATTTGTTTCACATTTTTTATATGTCTGGAAGTAGGAGGCATTTTTTTTTTTTTTAAAGATTTTATTTATTTGACAGAGAAAGACACAGCAAGAGAGGGAACACAAGCGGGGGGGAGTGGGAGAGGGAGAAGCAGGCTCCCCGCCGAGCAGGGAGCCCAATACGGGACTCGATCCAGGGACTCCAGGATCACGACCTGAGCCGAAGGCAGTCGCTTAACCAACTGAGTCACCCAGGCGCCCAGGAGGCATTTTTTAATTGATGGTGAATGTCAGTTATAATTGACAGTTTATTTCTTAGTAGATAAAATAACACTATGCATTTATTTTCATTTTATTTTTATATTTCAGTGATCTAGTCAGTAGAATGGTACAATTCACAATTCTTCACTCTCCTGAAACCTCCAACATGTTCCCATCCTTATTCTTCCTATGGCACTATGACTCTGAAAACGAGATGCTCAGAAGGGCCCTTCAAACCATATCCACCCACCTCCCAGGTGCTGCACCCACACACTCCACCTTCCTGCTTGTTGCCATAGATCAAGGTTTCAAAGAGTAATTCTAGGACTTCTGGAGGCTCCTGAGATCCTTTTGGGGTCTGTGAGGTAAAAACTATTCTCATAATAATACGAAACCAGTATTATTTGTTTTAACTTTTGTTTTCTCAAAAATGCACAATGGAGTTTTCCAAAGGTTATATGATGAATGATACCACAGCAATCTGAATACAGAGGCAGATGAAAATCCAGCTGTCTATTAATAAAGTCAGACATTAAGGAGACTTGCAGAAATGTAAAACAATGCCACTCCTCTAATTTTTTTTTTGTTTGGAAATATAGTTTTTTTTTTAATTTTATTATGTTATGTTAGTCACCATACATCATTAGTTTTTGATGTAGTGATCCACGATTCATTGTTTTTGTATAACACCAGTGCTCCATGCAATATGTGCCCTCCTTAATACCCATCACCAAGCTAACCCATCCCTCCACCCCCTTCCCCTCTAAAACCCTGTTTGTTTCTCAGAGTCCATAGTCTCTCATGGTTCATCTCTCGCTCTGATTGTCCCCCCTTCATTTTTCTCTTCCTTCTCCTAATGTCCTCCATGTTATTCCTTACGTTCCACAAATAAGTGAAACCATATGATAATTGATTTTCTCTGCTTGACTTATTTCACTTAGCATAATCTCCTCCAGTCCCATCCATGTTGATGTAAAAGTTGGGTATTCATCCTTTCTGGTGGCTGAGTAATATTCCATTGTATATATGGACCACATCTTCTTTATCCATTCATCTGTCGAAGGGCATCTCGGCTCTTTCCACAGTCCGCTCTCCCTGCGGACATTGCTGCTATGAACATTGGGGTGCATATGGCCCTTCTTTTCACTACATCTGTGTCTTTGGGGTAAATACCCAGGAGTGCAATTGCTGGGTCATAGGGTAGCTCTATTTTTTAATTTTCTGAGGCACCTCCACACTGTTTTCCAAAGTGGCTGTACCAACTTGCATTCCTACCAACAGTGTAAGAGGGTTCCCCTTTCTCCAACATTTGTTGCTTCTTGCCTTGTCAATTTTTGCCATTCTAACTGGTGTAAGGTGGTATCTCAGTGTGGTTTTGATTTGAATTTCCCTGATGGCTAATGATGATGAACAGTTTTTCATGTGTCTATTAGCCATTTGTATGTCTTCTTTGGAGAAATGTCTGTTCATGTCTTCTGCCCATTTTTTGACTTGATTATTTGTTTTTTGGGTGTTGAGTTTGAGAAGTTCTTTATAGGTCCTGGTACCAGCCCTTTATCTGTAGTGTCATTTGCAAATATCTTCTCCCATTCTGTGGGTTGCCTTTTTTGTTGACTGTTGGAAAATAGTTATTTTTTTATAAAACATTATTTATGTTAACACGGAATGGGTTTATTATTTTTTGAAACAAATTAATGAATATTCTTAATTTCTCAGATATAATTTTTATTATGGTAAATACGGATAGATATAAACCACACACACAAAAACTCTTTGTGGTCCTCCCTAATTTTTAGGAGTAGACTGGTGCTCTGAGACCAAAGAGTTTGAGAACGACCACCAGATGAATGCTTGGTGCTTCTATCTTAAAGCCCATTCCTCCACCAGGTTCCATGTCCCATCTCTCACACACACTCCACAAAGCTCCCCTCTTACACATATGTCAGTTTCCCTCTCTGCACAATCATTCCCATTTATGTATAAACATGCTGTTTATTTTATCTTAAAAATAAACAAAAACTTCTCCTGTTCCTCTATCAGCTACTGCCCATGTCTCTTCCCCTTTGCACAAAACTTCCTCAAAAAAGTTGTCCATACTTCCAGTCTCAAATTCCTCTCCTCCCATTCATTCTTTTTTTTCTTTAATTTTATTTCCATATAGTTGACACACAGTTTCAGGTGCACAACATAGTAATTCCACAAGTTTCTACCTTATGATGTGCTCACCACAAGTAGTTGCCATCTTCCCACTCTCTCTTAAATCCCCTCCCATTGGATTTTCCTGCTCTTCCCACTCGGATCCCCCCACATTGTTAAGTCCCCATTTGACAAAACGAATCCTGTCTTCCTTGATATACAGGCAGCTGTCCCTTTGCAGGGCTCTGATAAGGGTGAATTTCAGTTAACACTGTTTAAATAACCCAGTCCCTCAACAACATGGTTCAAATTCCAGTTACCACATTTATTAACTGTGAGGAATTACAGGAAGCACAAACTCACTGTCGGGCTGCTCAGTGCACCGACCACCACATAAACAACTCATGCACAGTGAGCAGTGACAATCATCTCATTTGTTTCAAAGTCTGTCAGCAACTGGCCACCAGGCATCTGTTTTTTAGCTCACAGATAGACAGCAAAATGTATATTTGAAATGAATCACTGAAAGAGGAAATTGGCGAAGAAAAGTGAAAGTGAAGCAAAGACACAAAAGTGCTAACACTGGATGTAGAAATGGAATCTAACATAATGGAGGTACAGAAGTAGCCACCTGGGAACGGGGACTGTCAGCGCAGTGCTCAGCTAGGGGAAGGGCGACTTAGGGCCTGAATGAGGACAGGGGGTGCGTGGAAAGGACAAGCGTCTCCCAGATGCATTGAGAAACTTCACATTAAAAGAACTCTCAGAGGTACTTCACCGTTGTTAAAGGAACACGAGGAGATATTTCACAACATTGAAAGCAAAAATAATAAAATGTTGAAAGTTGATCCAAAATTAGAAAGGAATATGCCAATTTGCCAAGGCATAGAAAAGATATTTGCTCCGGTTATGTGACAAGAACGAGGCAAGCAGTGTTCAACCTTGTCTCGGCAAGTTTATTTTACAAAGAAGTAAAACACTTTAATTCTTGATGTTTCCAAATTTTTTTTTTTTTTTTTTTTAAGACTTAGAGCAAGTGTGCATGCGAGTAGGGGAAGGGGCAGAGGGACAGGGAGAGAGAATCTCAAGCCGACTCTCTTGCAGAAGCGCAGAGCCCAATGAGGGGCTCGATCTCACACCCCTGAGATAATGACCTGAGCCGAAACCAAGCATCGGACGCTCAACTGACTGAGCCACCCAGGTGTCCCGCCTTTGTTTTAAAAAATTAGTGTACTAAACGCAAATTGGTCTTACTATTTTTTCACTTCCTTGTACATATATAACCATCAGAGTTTTTCATGTTTTGACAGAAATTTTTAAAGGTCCCAGAACAGTAAATTTTCCCATCGATTATTAAGACTGTTTGGCATGGTTGCTTTTAGAGTTCGGAGCTCCATGCAAAGGGAGTGCGGCCTGCACTTCCCTCATCTGACTTCCAGGCCACCACACCCACTTGCTTCTCTTCCTGCCTTGCTAGCTGACGTCCCAGTCTCCTCTCTCAACACTTACTGTGGGAGGACATCAGAGCCCAGTTCTGGGAGCTATTCTATTTGCACCGCTCCCTTAGAGATTTCACCCTGTCTTGTGGCTTGAAACATCATCTATATGCCAACAATTTCCACATTTATATCCCCAGCTTAGACCTCTTGCCTGAAAGCCAGATTTATATATCCAATGGCCAGCTCCACCTGGATATGCGTAGATACCTTAAACCCAGGATACTGTTAGAAGATGGAGGAGGGTCAGTAAAGTATCCTCTATAATGTAAAGGCACTTTAAGACTGAAAAACAAAGCAAGCCACTCCATCCCATTTATGTAGTTTCTTTCAGGGTAACTTACAGGGGGGATCAGGGAGACGGATCCAGACAGGAATGATCCCGGCAGCACTCGGCTATTCTAGGCCCCTCTTCTCCACCCACTCAGGACTTCAATCCCCAGCTTTTATGGAGCAAGGGGCATGGTGGTGAGGTCACAGGGCAGCTATCTAAAGTGGCGCCATTTGTGCAACAAAGGATCTTTACTAGTTACCTAAAGTGGGGCCTTCTGTGGGCCAGCCATCTCTACTAGTTACCTAAAGTGGGGCCTTCTGTGGGCCAGCCATCTCTACTAATTACCTAAAGTGGGGTCTTCTGTTCACCACTTTAGGGAAGATCAGAACAAGCCTCCTGCAATCCCATCAGGGCAGACATTAACCTCCACAGGACCAGGAACACATAGCCCCGAGGGGGGACGTTGCGTGGACATGAACAAAATGGAGGGCCAAAGATGGAGTCAATGTGGTCAGCACTCCTACAATAGCCAAAACCGAAATCCTTCCCCCAACCAAAAAAAACCCTCCTCTACTACCCACAATGCACATCTTCCCCATCTCAGTTGATGGCAACTCCTTCCTTCCAGTTGCTCAGGCCAAAAACCTTAAGAGTCATTCTTAACTACTATCTTATATCCTCTGTATAATCTGTCTCAAGTCCTATTGGCTCTACCTTCAAAATATATCCAGAATCAGACTTTTCTCCACGTTCACCGATGCACCTGGTCCACACACCCTCACCTCTTACCTGGATTATTATGACATGGTCCTAACTGGTCTCCCTCCTGATCTAGTCTCAGCACAGCAGCCAGGCGAGTTCTTGTAAAACACGTGCCAAATCTGGCCAGTCCTTTCCTGAGAACCCCCACAGTGGCTCACCATTTCACTCAGAGAAAAGTCAACATCTTTCCAAAGACCCAGTGGGTCTTACAGGATCTAGGCCCTTCTTACGGGGCTATGTTCTAACCCCACCTCCTCCTCTTCCTCTCACTCCCTCATTCTTGCCGCTTTCACTGGCCTGCTTCTTTCCAGAACTCTGGGCAGGCTGGGCCTTCACACTCGCCAGTCCCTCTTCCTGGAGAGCTCCTCCTCCAAATAGCCACATGCCTGACTCCTTTTAAGTGTTTGCTCACTGTCACCTTCTCAAGGTGTACCCGGCTCCCCAGATCAACTGTTACCCACCGTCATCCTGCAGAAATCCTTATCACTCTTATTCTCTATTTTCCATAGCATTCATCCCCTAATGTGCTGTATGGTTTACTTGTGTTGTTTATTGGTTGTCTCCCTCTCCTACTGCTTAGAAGGTCAACTCCAGGAAAGCAGCAACTTCTCATCTATTCTGTTGACTGATAAAAGCCCAAGGGCCTACTGATAGTATCTGATACATATAGGCATTCAATAATTATTTGCTAAATAAATGAAGTTGAAAAAGTTCTAAGTTACTAGTTATTATAATGGACCCCCAGAGAACCTTCTGTGTACGTCTAATAACTCCCATTTGGTGAGGAAAATCTGAAAATCTAAAATGTGATTACTCATTCATTTTATCAAGAACTATTTCCTAAATATTTTATATGTGCCAAAGCCAAATTGGACCTTAGATGGTCAAACATACTTTTCCAATTCTGGTGCAGGACCTTCTTGCTTTTGAACACGGTTCTGAATGGACAAGAGTGCTTCTGGTGAATACTGGGCAGCATTGCTCTCCATGTACTTCAAAACATAGTCGTCTGTGTCAAGGATGACAAACCGGTGGCCAAACACTGGGGAGAGGGTAGAAATACACTTAGCTTGGTTATGGTTTTAATCATGCCATTAGGGGTAAAATAATACTGATCCTCCAATGACAAGTTCACAGATAGGCATCTGTGACCTAGATGAAGGAACATTCCATAGCTCTCTAAACTAATATGCAGTAGTTCGCTCAGTGTTCAGGAAGCTCGGGGTCTACATCTATAGCCCACAAATGCGACCAACTTACAGTTTAATTGACATGGAAAGAGATCAAGACACTGTATCACATATACAAGAATATTAGCTTTAGCTCAGGTGGAATGCAGCCTAACTGCCTCTTACAAGTTAAACGAATTAAATTCCCACTAAGAAGAACCCATTCACTTGGCAGGTAGGAAACACTAAGCTGTGCTTTGACCTACCCTCAATCACAGCACCAATGAAGAAGTCAGTCGGGCCATAGTAGATGGGGTTTTCCGCTGTTGAGGACGGTTTAGCAACTTTAGTTCTGCCAAGGTACTTGCCCCCAATGATGCCAGAATTGCGGACAGGTGGCTCAAAGATACTGATCATGTCACTGGCAAGAAAATAAGAGAAGACAAATCGGCGGTCTTTGTCTTCCGGGATAGGAGATTCCTAGACAGGAGAAGAAAGGAAGTTATTATGAAGGTACATGATAGACCCCGATGTTCTAAACTTAAGTATCTACAGGACAAGGTATAAAATATAAACCAAATACACAAAGTATAATGTAAGTGAACAGGATGGGGGGCGGGGACTGTGGTGGTCTGGAAAGGACATGCCTCATCTAAAGGAGGCTGCCCCAACTCAACTCTGACTGGTTGCTGCCTTGTGCGAATGTAAGCTCAATGTTGTGTGATCTTCCCGTTTCTCACGGGAAGACAGAAATCCGGGTGTTGTATGTGAGTGATGAATCACTAAATTTTACACCTGAACCTAATATTACACTGTATGTTAACTAACTGGAATTTAAACAAAAACTCGGAAAAAAAAATAAAACCCCTGATTTTAAAATGTTGACCTTAACTCTTTTAAAGCACTATGTGCGCCAAACAAAACATGTGGGCTATGTTCTGCCCACAGGCTGCCCACAGTTTGAGACCTCTTGGCTGACATGTTCAGTTTCACAGACACTAAGATGATTATGCAAAGTTTAGTTCTTTAAACAAATCCATTGATATACATAATTTTAATAAGAAAATTTAAGAAAGGAGGAATGAGTAACATAATGTCATAGAGTTGAAGTTGATTCTGGGAAACTATCTTGTAGCAAGACTATTCGTATATCAAATCACTGAGAGTGATCACATAACCCTAAGAAACCAATTCCAGATTGAACAAGCTTAAATACAGACATGCTTATTCTTGACTAAAATCCTGTCAAAGTACAACTTCAGCACATATCTTTTCATTTACAACATGGAATTTCTTGTATAATAATTTCTCATTTATCAAAGAAAGTCACTGGGTTTCCTCTTGTCAAATAATTTCCTCATACCATTCCCTAATCTAACCGTCTCCAAACTTTTTCGATTAGACACTCTTAACAATAAAAAATTTTTTAAACAAACATCCACAATATAGTTAATAAAAATCAAATCACATCACTCCTCTGTTCTCAAACCTCCAGAGGATTCCCGTCACACTGAATAAAATACGAAGTTCTGAGCACGGCGACAGGCAGGTCTGTACCAAGGGGGTAGCGGGGGAGAGCCAATGGTTCCTCCTGGCAGGAGTATTTTAGGAGTATTTTAAAAGTTAAAAAAAAAATCGTTATGTTTTTATTTAGAACTAAGTGTAAAGTTGCATTAACAATAGAGAATTTTCATATACTCCTTACCAGGTTCCCCTAACATTAGCATCTTACATAGCTTACATAACCATCCAATTATCAGACCCAGAGTAATGGTACAACAGTAACAGTAAATAGTAACGGCACACGGGGCGCCTGGGTGGCTCAGTCGGTTGGGCGACTGCCTTTGGCTCAGGTCATGATCCTGGAGTCCCTGGATCGAGTCCCGCATCGGGCTCCCTGCTCGGCAGGGAGTCTGCTTCTCCCTCTGACCCTCCCCCCTCTCATGTGCTCTCTCTCATTCTCTCTCAAATAAATAAATAAAATTTAAAAAAAAATAGTAACGGCACAATACTATTAAATAAATCACAGTTCTTATTCAAATTTCACCTGTTTTTCACTTATGTTCTTTTTCTGACTCAGGATCCTATACAGGATCTCACATTGCATTTAGTTGTTCTTTCTCTTTGATCTCCTTCAATCTGTGACAGTTCCTCATTCTGTCCTTGTCTTTCACGACCTTGACACTTTTGAAGAGTAATGGTCAATTATTTTGTTGAATGTCCCTTGTGCATCTCATTTTTGCATTTTTGGCAAAAATACCACAGAAAGACTATCTTGTCTTTCTCAGATATCGTAACAAGGAGTTCACGATATCGAAAGATCTTATTATTGGTGATGTTGACCTTGGTCATGTGGGTAAGAAGATAAATGCTGGGTTTCTCCCTTCTAAAATTACCATCTTTCCCTTTGCAGTTGATAAATATCTTAAGAAACACACCTTGAAACTATGAAAATCCTGTTTCTCCTCAAAGGTCTTCCGGTAATTTTAGCATCCACTGATGGATATTCTCTGCAACCATTATTGCTGTGGTGTGTGCTTAATGGTAATTTTTTATTGCCCTCTTCTCTTCCACATTTAGTAACTGAAATTCTACTGTACAGAGGCACAGCCTGAGGATGAGTATTGTATTGCTGATATTTAGAATTACAGGCACACAATGAGAGTAAGAAGCAGATCAACTTTTGGGTTTATTTTTAAATTGTCTGCAGGCTTCTTACCTACATCGCTTGTTACCTGCATCATGGGTGACTACTCCCACCACTCTACGCCTCCGGCCTTGCTAGGCCACTGGCTGTAAGACTCTGAGCTGGTGCCTGATCCCATCTTCATTTCTGTCTCTCTACCCTCCATTCCCTGTACACCACATCTACATGAAATGCAGTTCCCTCAGATATGCTGCTGGCCAGCTCCCTGGGCCATTCATTCTGGTCTCCACTCAGCTGTGTGCCCCCTCCCCAGCATTTCCCTTATTGACCAGTTAAATGAGCCCCTCCCCATCACTCTGTCTCCTGCTTTACTTTTCACAGCATGTTTACTACTTGTTCTTTGATGATATATTTACTCTTGTCCAGAATATCCTTAACTGGAATGTAAGCTCCACGAGGCCAGAGATTTGTCTGTCTTGTTTTCCACTGTACCCTCAATGCCCAGAACAATGCCAAGCCCAAGGTAGTTCTTTAATATTTGTTGAATGAATGAATAATTCAACATCTATTCTTCTACATAAACATGTTCTGTGTCCTACAAAGTACATATAAAAATATCAGGGGCTATAAAAAAGTGCACTCCTGATAAATTATAAGCAGAGGCTGTAATATTTTCTTCAGAGCGTCCATGGAGTATCAGCTCTCTGCAGGCTCCTTGGAAGGCCAAGCCTGCTGCTGTGGAGACCACTGCTCAAGTCGAGTTATTACCTTCTCGAGCTTCCCCAAGTCCCTCTGCTGGCACTCCACCCTGAGCCCCCGATACTTCACTAGCCATACTTGTACTTAGGCCCGAACCACCTGTCTGGGTTTAGCATACTTTATTTCTTTTATATGTATATACTTTTTACTGTGAACTATAACACACATAGAGAAAATCTGCAAAAAACCAAAATGTACAGTTCAAAGAATTTTCATTAAGTGAACAGTCGTGGAACCACCACCCAGTCAAGAAACAGAACGTTGATGGAAACTAGAAAGCCCTCCCAACTGAGAGAACTTGGTAATAATGTAAAACATTCATTAATCAGAATTTTTATAGTAGGGAGTATGCTACTTGGCCTAGAGTTTGCTAGAACTTCCTTTTTATTTAAAGCTTTGTTCAACATTTTTCTAAAATATAGTAGTCAGCTATGTCTTGATTTAATTTTTATTTTTTCAAATACATGCATACAGTTTGAAAAATCACTTGGCCTACCTCCCACACTCCCAATTCCTATTCCCAGAAGTAACTTATTTCAATTTCTATTTATATCCATATTTCTAAATAAAATGCTTATAGTCCTATTTCTGTATGTTTTCCATTTTTAAAGATATTACCCTTTGAACTCCTATCAGTAATTTGCCTCAGGTAACTCAGCCAATGAGTGGAATATTCAGGATTTAAATTTATGTCTGTTTCCAAACCCATGCTCTTAATTCACTAGCCATATGACCTCTCAAAGGCAATATCTATTAAATTGGTAGGATCCCATTTATTACATTTAAGAAATACAAAATACATCAAGCTAGATATCACAAGTAATGATAAAAATTAGTAAGATACGGTCCCTACCCTCAAGGAAATCACAGTACACTCGATTGCACACAAGTACACAGATAATTTCACTATGTCAGGCTTTCATGATTACTTAATAAAAAAGGCAAAAAGGTCAGTCAAAATTTGAGGGGTAGAAGGGAGAGATTAACGGTCTAAGAACGATGTTTGCAGGAGATAGGACTAGAGCTAGATCTTGGCTCAGGGACCACTGCTAACACTACCCAACCCACCCAAAGGCTGGAGACTGGGTCCCGTGGCTGTTTAAATAACACACGACTCTGCCGACTGTTACCCTGCAGCTTAACAGACAAAAAGGACCACTGGGCACAGTACTGAGACCAAACGGAATCTTAGCACACGGAAATCATCCTCACCAGTGCAGCCAAATAACGAAGCACCTTGTTATCGTTCATCAGCATTTTAATAACATCTTTTTTCGGAGCCTTTGGAATGAGAACAAAGCAATTCTGAGCGGAGTCTTCAACAAGTCCATAACCGTTATAGGGAGGTAATTCCTGGAGAAATAGAAGAAATAAAGCAGATGCTATTTGTGTTAAAATTACATTAAAGGTAACCAAGTTTCTTTTTTAAATATCTAGAAGATACTTATTCAAAAGCAATTTCTATATACACAAATGTACTGTAGTCAGAAACTAAAACATTGCATATTCCATTCCTTTTTATATATAAGCTTTATACCATGATCACTGCTCATAGGAATGACAGATGATGCTACAGAGTAACTCAAAGGGCTAGACCAAAAGTTCAGCAGTCCCCCTTACTCACGGGGGATATGTTCCAAGACCCCCAGTAGATGCCTGAACCCTGTATATACTATGCTTTTTCCCATACATACTTTTGATAAAATTTAACTTATAAATTAGACACAGTAAGAGATTAACAACGATAACCAATAATAAAGTAGAACAATTATAACGACATACTGTAATAAAAGTTACGTGAATGTGGTCTCTCAAAATATTTTATTGTACTACACTCACCCTTCTTGTGATGACATAAGATGATTAAATGCCTACATGATGAGATGAAGTGAGGTGAATGACATAGGTGTTGTGACATAGTGTTAGGCTACTATTGACCTTCTGATGATACATCAAGAGGAGGATCATCTGCTTCCAGACTGTGGTTGACCGTGGGTAACTGAAACCGTGAAAAGCAAAACCGTGGATAAGGGAGGACTCGTGTGTTGCTGATGTCCACTGATCCCTTACCACCAAAGCAAGACCTGGCCCTACTCCTGGTCCCAATCCTGGCCCTGTGGTCATCCTACCATGGACAAGCCCAAGGATCTGTGACTTCTTTGTTCTAGGGTGTGTGTGTGTGTGTTGGCATTGGGGGAGGGCAGGACTTGGTTCGTGCTACTATTTTCCTATTTATCTCCTTATTTCTAGTATTTTTATTTCTTGATTTTTGCCACACAAACAGGGGTGGCGGCCATTCTTTACTGAGAACTCAGACTCCTTGTCCACTCCGGACTCTCCTTTCCTAGCAAAGGAGCAAACTCAAGAAACCAAACTTCTGCTATGACCGTTACTTGGTGAGTTAGCATGAAAGTACAGGATGAGCTTTTCTTTTTCATTCAGGCCCCATGAAGAGCTGAAAGCATCACTCTAAGATGGTAGGATTTCTTGGTCTAAAAACTTGAGTTCAGTGGCTGTTTTCCTCTCCTCGATGAGGACTGCAGCAGAGTTCTTTCTCTTTGACTCCTTTTTGCTGTGCTTCCTCAGCAAAGTCGGCTTATTCCATACATTTCATGTGTAGGGACCTTCCCCAAATCTTTCTATATATTGTATTGAAGCACTTTGACAAATTAGTCTATACAGTCCATTTGTAACAGATACTTCCTCAAAACCTGTGACTACTCTGCTCATCCAAGGTGTAATGCCTGGATCACTGCCTCTTCGCCCACCTCCTGGGGCCATAATGTGATCATCATGGAGGAAATATGACTAGTGCATCCAGTAGATGGACAATGGCCTAACTTGCTCTAAATGCAAAACCACTACTCAATGAATATACAGGTTTGCCATGGACAGAGGGACCTTGAGTGAGACACCACATGCTGAGCATTTGAGTTACTCTAGAGGATAGGCAGAAATATACAGTGGTGGAATCTAAACTTCCTCTGGGTGTTGGCAGTGGAGATTGAAGAACTTTGAAATAGGGAGGTAAGCCTCTGAACACCTTCCTCTCAAATTCTTTTTGTGTTTTAACAGAGTTCAACCTATTTTTTCTGAATCACACCTTATGCCCCCTGCTTGGAATGAAGACCTTCCCTAAATATCAGCCCCTATGCCTGGGGTCCTGGCACTATGCTTCTCGTCTTGCAAGCTACTGTCTACTGTCGGTGTCCTGTTCTACACTAGATGAGCCACTCACTCCTCAATAATCCTGCTCACATGCTCCACCCGCATTATCTTAACAAAACAAGTACACAGGGAGCTTGAGAGTCCCATAATCCTCCAAATAAAGCTTCCAGAGGCCAGCTCCATAGCGGATTTGCTCTCCTAGTTCTGGATTCTTTGTCTTCCCTACCAGCAGGTCTCCCGATGGAGTCAACCTGAGACAGACACATCTGGCCAGTGGATACATTTACTTACTCCTGAGCTAACAGCCTGATCTAAGTGTCATGATTCTTGAATTGAATATATCCTCTTCATATCTGCTTCTACCCCTGATCATTGGCCTGCCTCTAGCTTTATCCCTCAAGAACCCAGCTACAGCTTCCCACCCCGGCTTTCCAACCACGTTGTGCAGGGTTTAAATGATGGAAGCATAATGACTAAGGAGAACTGAAAGGTATTTGCTGTTTGGTAAGTGGTGCTCTCCTACTCATTTCCAACAAAGACTTCCATGGACAAGCACAGAGCACTTATGTGTAATTGTTTATTATAAAGAATTTACTGAAAATAAACTGACCAAATACTATGACTCATGTGCCATGTGTATGGATGGAGAATTGGTTTTATATTACAGGGTGACTGAATGGGCAAAACAAACGAACCAAAATCTACAGTGGTTCTTCAGTTCACTCTGCTCTCATCTAAGCCCTCCCTTCCCTTCCTTTCTTTAGAAGACAGGTTAGAAGAAAAAGATGAGAGTGAAAGAATGGGAAGCAGAGGTGTTGTAGGACTCAGAACTTGTATCAGCTCAAAAGATGGATCAAAGCCTTTCACTAAGAAAAATGCACTATTATATTGCAGTCCCTCCCCATTCTACTTCCTGGTTAGGTCAGATTCCTTCTTGTAAAGGGGTTTGGCATTTAATAAACTCCCCCGTGTACTTTGCAGTGCGACCTTGGACTGCTATCTCATACTATACTTCTCTATAAACTGAAGTGACGGAATAGTTTGCTTAATCAAAATCTAGATCTTTCCTATGGTACTTTTTCTCATATATTGCAACAAATGGTACCCCCAATATTTGGGGATAGGAGCAAGGGCTTTATTATAATTATTATTTTTTAAATTTTTTAATTTTTTAAAAGATTTTATTTATTTATTTGACAGAGAGAGACATAGTGAGAGCAGGAACACAAGCAGGGGGAGTGGGAGAGAGAGAAGCAGGCTTCCCGCAGAGCAGGGAGCCCAACGTGGGGCTTGATCCCAGGACCCTGGGATCATGATCTGAGCCAAAGGCAGACGCTTAACGACTGAGCCACCCAGGCGCCCCGGCTTTATTATAATTCTTAATCAATGAGCCCATTCATTGGTAAAGAATCCTATCAGAGAAAAAAACTGACAGCAAGAAGTATTATCTCGATCCATACTTCCTTCCAGAAGTTTTATTGCCCCTGGGAATTCATAGCATATTAAATCCAAATCCTTCTTTGTAATTGTTTTTATGAAATGTTGGTTCCAAAAGGCTGGCCTAAGATATCATTGCCTCTTTGGGGAACAAATGCATACTTCATAGGCAGTCTTCTTGTGTAGTTCAAGAAACATACCACATGCGCCCTATTTGCTAGGCACTGAGTTAAGTGCTCCCTGGCCTCAAGGACCTTACGGTGTAGTAAAAAAGATTCTTAGACAGATACTTTAATAAATATAATAGGTAAGTACTAGCAGAGGGAGGCACAGGACCCCAGGACACACAGGAGAGGTGATTAAGCCTGCTAGGAGCTTAGAGATGCCTTCTTGGAAGAGAGGAGGCCTACACCGAGTCTGGAAGGGTAAGGAGGAGCTGTGTAAAGAAATGATGGCAAAGGGGTTCAAGCGCATGGAAGAGCATCAGCAAAAGTGCAGGAGAGTGAAACAGGAGGCTGTGCTGCCAGAACCACAGCTAACTCAGGGCACTTGGAGGCTAAATGCAAGAAGCAGGGCAGCCAATCAGGGGAAGGCAGATGCCTGCACTGGAGGAATTCATTAATTCCATCCTTCCATTCACAGGTTTCTTTTGAAAAGAAAGAGCCACAACCTTATTTTACACACAGAGGAGTAAAGATATATATCTTTATATATAAAGATAGGTCACAGGTATCAATACCCAATTTTATACATAGGCAACAGACCAAAGAGGCTGGATGCATTGCTCCAGCCCCAAGTGCGCGGAACAGGTGCCAATGCTTACGGTCTGTGATACGGCGCTGCCTTAACACATCAGATACTTCTTTTTTAAAAAAAAAAAAAATATTTTATTTATTTATTTGAGAGAGAAAGAATGAGACAGAGAGAGCATGAGAGGGGGGAGGGTCAGAGGGAGAAGCAGACTCCCTGCTGAGCGGGGAGTCTGATGCGGGACTCCATCCCGGGACTCCAGGATCATGACCTGAGCTGAAGGCAGTCGCTTAACCAACTGAGCCACCCAGACGCCCCACATCAGATACTTCTTGAATTTGCTGTATAATGTGTAATTTTTAACACAGGCAATTTTTTTTTTTTTTTTGAGAGAGAGAGAGGGTGCGCAAGTGCGAGGGGGGTGGGGGGGAGAGAAAGAATCTCAAGCAGACTCACACCCAGTGCAGAGCCCCACGTGGGGCTCCATCCCATGATCCTGAGACCATGACTTGAGCCGAAATCAAGAGTTGGTCGCTCAACGGACTGAGTGACCCAGGTGCTCCCCCATGCAATTCTTACTTGAATTTCTAAAATATGTGGCTGAACCACTCTGAAGGCTCAAGTCTATCTGATTACCATGTGGGTGCATTTAAAAGAACCACGACCTTACTCTCAGATCAGAATGGACTCTGTGGTACACAGTACTAAATTTCGTGGTTCAGTATAATTCTAAGGAAAGCTATGTGGCAATGAAAGAAAGCTATCTTCCAACATCTTCATTAATCAGCTTCTGTTCACTCCCAATTAGTTTTTAAGTAAAAGGGTCTGATAGATAGGCAGGGAACAGTGAAATGTCCTAGCAGTCTGGAATTTTAAGAGAGGTCTTTTTTAATCAAAATAAAAAAATTATATGGGGCGCCTGGGTGGCTCAGATAGTTAAGCATCTGCCTTTGGCTCAGGTCATGATCTCCGGGTCCTGGGATCGAGTCCACGTCCGGCTCCCAGCTCAGCAGGGAGTCTGCTTCTCCCTCTCCCTCTGCCTCTCCCCCTGCTTGTACTCTCTCTGTCTTTCTCAAACAAATCTTTAAACAAATAAAAATAAAAAATAATAAAATAATAGAAGTAATACAAGGTTTGGTATAAGAAGAGAAATTAAAAGCACACAGAGTATAAAAAGAAAGGTCCCTTGTCATCTCGCACTGCCCTCCCCACCCCCCATTCTCACATGTGGAACTACCCACTGTGAACAGTGTGAGTGGAGAGTCCTCCAGGTCCTCTCTTTGGTAAGTGTAAGCAGATACTGTATGCAGCAATTTACACAAACAGGGCCGTATAACATAAACGCATTCACTTACAAATGTGACGGACATTTTGCCATGTTGATATGCAGAGACTGACTTCCTCTTTTTCTCTTTAACCAGTCTTATAGTCTCACATTCTTCTCACTGTTCTATAGTTTGTTCTGCCAATCTCCTTACACTTTATTATAAGTAATCCTTACTTACACATATCCTTACACCTATCACTTTATGGTCCCCAGACCAGATTTTCTAGATCAAGAGGCAGGTAATATTTTATTTTGAAAAAATTAAAAGGACGACACTGCCCTTCAAAAAGGTTTTTCCTATTAGCTCTTCTGTTAACAGTATATGAAAATGACCATTTGGGGGTATCTCGCTGGCTCAGTCAGTAGAGCATGCGGCTCTTGGTCTCAGGGTTGTGGGTTTGAGCCTGATAGTAGATGTAGGGATTACTTTAAAAAAGTGAAAAAAAAAAAAGAAAAGAAAATGTCCATTTCTTCAGATCAGGGCAAACACTGGATATTGTGAGTCTTTTTAAATCAAATACATCCAAAACCTCATTATTTTCATTGGTCTTTTTTTTTTTTAATTTATTTTTGAGAGAGAGAGAGCATGAGCGGGAGGGGCAGAAGGAGAGAGAGAAGGACAGAGAATCTGAAACAAAACTCTGCACTGAGCATGGAGGAGGGTCTTTTCATATGTTCATTAGCCATTTGTATTTCTTCTTTTGTGAAGTGCTCTGTATCATATGCTTTGTCCATCTTTTATTGGGTATTCACATGACTCCATTTTTTCTTTTTCTTAAACCTCTATATCAAAAGATTAATTCTCGCACTACACTCGGAACTAGTGTTCCATTACCGGTTTCACAGGAGGTGGCTCCTTCTTGCTCACATCAATACGTGGTAAATCAGAGATTCCAAACTTTTCTTTGTAATATTGTCGAGTGAAAGGATCACAATCATAGATGAAGAAGGTTCTCCCGAGGATAGTGAGTGGTTTCCCCACAATGAAGTCTTTGGCGGTATACCATTCCAACACCTCTTGATCAGAGATCTCCAGCACACACTGAGGGAAGTTCTCTGACAGAAGATAACAGGGAGAGAAGAAAGAAAAGGAATAAGGATGGGAAGAAAGACTGACACACAGCAGCTGGGCACTCTTGAGAATTATGGTCTCTAGCTCTGGTCAAGGGTCTCCTCTACTCTCCCAGCAGAAAATAAGGTTGTGTATTTCCATCTGTTGACCGGACACAGAAATAATATCCCAGATAGTTTTTGTGAAGTCATTCTCCCTTATTCAGCTTGAACTATCAGTACAGGTCACTAACCTTAGCAGAACTCATGCTTAGGGGAAATCATTACAGGAGGAAAGAATAAATGTCCTTCTATAGAGTACAAGATCAACGGAGGGATCTAAATCATTCAGTTCAACCTTTGACCCATTTATTCATTCACACAACATATTATCAATGACCACATATATCATGTACCAGGTTCACTGCTAAATACCGAGATTATAACAACAGTGTAGGCGAGATTTCTGCCTTGATGGAGAAAACAGTCTGTTTGGGACAACGGATACTAAACAATTACACAAATAATAGTTTCATTTCAATTGTGATCACTGCTAGAAGGACAGTCTGACCTAGTCTTCTGGCAGGAGGCAGGGTCAGTGAGATGATCATACTAATCTGTTTATCTGGGCACTCAACAGATTTTCAAATGTAGAATCAACCTTGCATTTTGGGAGGTAGAAATCCAATTCTATCACATTGTTTTATGGGAACTAAGGATTGACTTATTTAAAACTGATTCCCTGCAGCATGGCCACCATGGAAACCGTAAGATAGTCAATTCTGGTAAAGTGCCACACTGTATAGCTGTAACCACAAAGCTTGACCCTAGAACTCTGATCACAGGGTGCTTGAGAGGCCACTATTCTCCCAACTGATAATTGATAAGATGGAAAAATAGGAAAGAAGGCTAAGGTTTTGTTACATCAGACAGAAAGGCTTGAGCGCCAGTCCTTGATCATGCCAAAAGATCATGATTTTCCCAATCATGCATCTTTTTTTTTCTTTTCTTTTCTTTTTTTTTTTTAAAGATTATTTATTTATTTATTTATTTATTTGAGAGAGAGTGAGAGAGAAACAGCATGAGAGGGGATAGGGTCAGAGGGAGAAGCAGGCTCTCTGCCGAGCCGGGAGCCCGATGTGGGACTCGATCCCAGGACTCCAGGATCATGACCTGAGCCGAAGGCAGTCGCCCAACCAACTGAGCCACCCAGGCGCCCCCCCAATCATGCATCTTAAAAGCCCTATAGACCAAGGGTTCCTTCTCCCATTGCCTAGTGCCTAACCCTACTAGACCCCTTTGAGTTACCTCAGGAAGTGATGGCCACTGGGGGACACAGTCAACAATGTTCCAGGAGACCCGGGGTGTGTATGTGTGTGGGTGCATGTGCACACGTGTGCACACACACTATACAACCATTCACCTTTTTTGCTTAACAATTATATTTTTCATATGTAGCTGGATTTCATTTACTGATATTTTATATAAGTTTTTTGCATATATGACTGTAGTCTTACTCATGGTGTCTTTGATTTTATTGGTCTTTTCTTAATGAATGAATTAGTTCTTTTCTATGAATCTGTATTAGGCTTATAATTAGCTGTTCTTTATTTGGCAAAACTGAAAAATTATCTAGATCTGGTGTTTGTGGAGAATTTTTTAAGTGATTCTATTTTCTTAATGGTTAAAGACATTTGGTCTCTATTTCCTCCTGGACAAGTTAAATTTTTCTAAAACTTTGCTCATTTCACACACACAAAAAAGAGACAAACCAAAAAACAGACTCTTAACTACAGAGAACAAACGGATGGTTACCAGAAGGGAAGTCGGTAGAGGGATGGGTGAAATAGGTGAAGGGGATTAAAAGTACACGTATCTTGGGGAGGGTATATGCTCTGGTAAGCGCTGTGAATTGTGCAAGACTGTTGAATCTCAGATCTGTACCTCTGAAACAAATAATGCAATATATGTTAAGAAAAAAAAAAAAGGAGAAGAAGGTAGCGGGAGGGGAAGAATGAAGCAGGGGAAATCGGAGGGGTAGACGAACCATGAGAGATGACGGACTCTAAAAAACAAACTGAGGGTTCTAGAGGGGAGGGGGGTGGGAGGATGGGTTAGCCTGGTGATGGGTATCAAGGAGGGCACATTCTGCATGGAGCACTGGCTGTTATGCACAAACAATGAATCATGGAACACTTCATCTAAAACTAATGATGTAATGTATGGGAATTAACATAAGAATAAATAAATTAAAAAAAAGTACACGTATCTTGATGAGCACTGAGTAATACATGGAAGTGTTGAATCACTATATTGTACACCTGAAACTAACATAACACTGTATGTTAACTATACTGGAATAAAAATTTAATTTAATTTCAATTAAAATTTGCTCGTTTCATCTAACTGAAATTAATTTCCAAATACATGAGTTTTTTTTTTAATAGTTCTGAAATTGAATTCTAACTTGTGTTGAAATTAGAAAATATGGTTTAAGATGCCCCGACTTTAAAAATAACGTTAAGACTGACCAGTTTTTATAAGTGTTCCATCTGTACTTGAAGAAATGGGAATTCTCGGGCGCCTGGGTGGCTCAGTTGGTTAAGCGACTGCCTTCGGCTCAGGTCATGATCCTGGAGTCCCTGGATCGAGTCCCACATCGAGTCCCACATCGGGCTCCCTGCTCGGCAGGGAGTCTGCTTCTCCCTCTGACCCTCCTCCCTCTCATGTGCTCTCTCTCATTCTCTCTCTCAAATAAATAAATAAAAATCTTAAAAAAAAAAAAAAAAGAAAGAAATGGGAATTCTCCAGGTGTTGATGCATTCATTATATCAACACTGACAATTCTATTATTTAAATCATATATATATATGTGCTTATTATCTTTTTGATCTAACAATTATAAGAAGAAATGTTTTAATGACTCCCACTATTTTGATGAATTTGTCCATTCTCTTTGCCTAATAATGCTATAAATTTTTGTCTTTCATGTTTTGAAGCCATGTTACTAACCGCATTCAAGTTTAGAATTAGTATATTTTCCTGGTAAATACAATTCTTGCAACATGTATGATCTTCTTTATCTCTAGCAATGCTTTCTGCCTTAATGTCTATTGGTATTTTAGTAATATAGCCTTATCAGTTTCTTTTGCTGCTTGATTGTACATCTTTTTTGACCTTTTTATGTCTCTGTATCTTAAGTATGTTCTTAAAATATTTTTCAAAGTTTATTGTTTTTTAATCCTATCCCTTCTCCTAAGTCTTTGTTGTAATATATTTCAATTCTACCTTGATATTTTTTAACTCCCACAAATTCAACATTGTTTTTTTAGTTTGTATAGTCAATGTTTATTTAGATATACCCACACGCTGCCATTTTCTTCTTCTTTTTTTAAAATCACTTCTTATATCTCAGACCTTACTTCTGGAATAATTTTCTTTCTACTAAAAGTACACTCTAGAATATTCCTAGTAAGGGTCTTTTGTTAGTAAAATCTGTTTTGTTTGCCTGGAAATGTATTTCACTTTCTTCTTGAAAGATAGTTTCTCTAGGTATTAAATTCTGTTTTCTTCTCAGCACTCTGAAGATTTCAGTACGCTGTCTTCTGGTAACTAGTGCTGCTATTGAGAGGTCAGTTGTCATTGTAGCTGCCATTCTGTATGGATAGCCTTGTTTCTTGGGCTGCTTTTATGATCTTTTTGAATTTGGTGTTCTTAAGTTTGACTATAACATATCTAAGTATGGACTTATATTTTTACGTTAGTGAGGTATAATCGACTACAATAAGTTGTACATATTTAGAGTGTACAATTTTGATGTTGTTTAACATTTGTATTTACCAAGGGAAAGGCAAGGTCAAAGGATGAAAGCCAGTCTAAAGGATAGTTAACAGACTTTAAGAACCTAGAACCTTAGGTTCAACAGCTGAGTAGAAAGCTTCTGGTGACCTTCTTTTGACATTACTTACCACATAGTGGTAAACTGCAATTACGTTCAACAAAGAACGAACTTTTATAATTCCTGAAACTTTAACTCTATCCATTATAAAAATACAATTTTTATTCATCTTAACTACTTAAATGAAGGCGCTGGCAAAGAGAACTTCTGAAAGATACTCCCGTAACTGCCTATTACTGTCCAACACAAACTCTGCCTAGCCCCTGTCTCTTGGATGCCCCCAAACATAACATACTTGTTCCTAATGCCCGACCCTTGCTCTTGTTCTTCTCTAACGTGCACTTTCCCTTTGTTCTCTGCCACTCTAAATCTGGGTCCAACCTCAGGTCTCCCACAAAGCCTTCCTTAGTCTTTCTAGGTCACATCTCTTCTTCTGAGCTCTGTCTACATGACATAACTAATTACATAATCAGATGATCTGGTACACTTGTGTTATTGTTAAACAGCTTTGTGTATTTATATGACTTGTCTCTACAGTCACTAGAAGTGACTGAAGGACAGAGATTCTAGGTCTGGAAGTTATGCTTTCATTTTATCCTCCACAGCACTTACAACATGAAATAGTTCCCTTAGCAGATATTTAACTCTTGTTTAATTGAATGTAATTCAAATCATCCATTGGATAAATAAATGACTTTGAGAGTCAATTAGATGCTACTTCTTCAACATCACAGTTCTAGTTAAAGGAATTATTCAGCTGATGGAAGCTTAGCCTTTTCTGTCCTGCTACTGCATGACTAACTTTCACAAGAAGATATGTTTCCTATCTCTTAAAAGGACCCTATATATGTCACCAGGCTGCCTCTCCACATAACTTTGATGAAAATTTTGGTTAAAATTTGAGATGTTATAGAGGCGCTTGGCTGGCTTGGTTGGGAGAGTGTGTGACTCTTCATCTTTGGGTTGTGAGTTCAAGCCCCATGTTGGTTGCACAGATTACTTTAAAAAAACTGGGGAAGTTATAAAAGAGGATGATCACATATTTAAAATTTTAAACATAGGCCATGTTGATACGGCAGAGACAAACACAGAACTTGAGATTTCAAGGGGTTCAGTTTCAGTGATACCTTTTTCATGCCTGAATAAATTCCCATTCTTTCTCTTAATCTACCGTAAATCTAACATCCTCTAGATGGCAGGAATTTCAGGCTCATGTAAGCATTCTGGAAGGCCTAAATTAGTACATTAGTCTCAGTGTCCTAGAACCTGAGAGGGTTCTACAGGAGGCCAAGTATAAGAATATAGTCAACAGCAACCGGACTGTGTTGAACTAGGGCTCAAATCCAGTTGCTGCTATCTGAGAATGCGAGCTATATTAGCAATTATTTTCATTTCTCTAAGACAGATTTTCGCCACTAATTCTCTTAGTTTTAAAATGGGGACTATTTCCCCAATCTCATTCTCCTCTACTTCATATGCAACCATTCTAATGTGCAGCTTTTTATGTGTGTACTACGCATATCGTTTTGTTTGGACTTCACTTTACATAAATATTATTGCATTGTACATCTCTTTTTCTTTTTTTTACACAGCACTTCGCTTTTAAGTGCATCCATTTGCTTTCTTTACATTTAGTTATTGCTTGTAATTACTACTATTTATCAAGCTGTACCTTCACCACATTTTGTTTATCTACTATCCCAGTGATGGAAATCTCCACCTCCTTGCCCCCAAGTAACACTGCTTAAAAAAAAAAATACTATATAGGCAAATCAATACATGTAGATAGATTGAATTTAGCCTTCAGACTGCCAGTTTGTTTATAACCTCTAACCTCAACTTGTTTATAATCTCTGAGACAAACCTCTTGCACAATACCTGAAATTTCTTATCTCCTAGTTCCAAAAAATAGAGTAAAAAGAAAACCAACAAAAGTATTTACAGAGTTCTGTCAGCCATCCAAGCATGAGAGATGTCATCACATATGACCAAGATGACATTTTTGCAAGAGAAAATTCTTAAACCACTAAGTCAATAACCAACGTAAGTGTACTTATTCCAGAGAAAGAATGATGGGCGGCGGTGTCAGCTGCACTTTGTTGCATTCTCCCTCTCCAGTCACTAGGTTATTTTACACAGCAAAGAGAGCAGGGGCTGACACAATGGGGCCCCACCTCTGAGTCACAGACATGCCTTTTCCAATCTTAAGTTATCCTACATACAAACTTCCTGTTTAGGAAGTATTGAGGTGAGAAGTAAAGTCAGGAAAGAACATAAGGAAATGGTAAGCTATATGAAAACAAGCTTGTTGTAAAAATGTATTAAAAATCTGATATTAAATTGCTTTACTTCAGAAGTCTTGCTCTTCTGCACTTTAAATGAATCTCCCACTGCTGTTTTGGTTGTTTCCTTGATTTGGGTATCAGTGATCTCCACCAGACCATTTTGGAGGCAAGCCTGGACTGTGGGGCAAGCAATGAGGGGAGTTACGGGAAAGCTATTTCTTTTTTAATTTTTTATTGTTATGTTAATCACCATACATTACATCATTAGTTTTTGATGGGAAAGCTATTTTTTGAGTACCTATAAGAACGCAGCAAGAGCCTCCCAAGTGTAAAGGGAATGACCATACTGATTAAGTAACTCCTTCGAGAGCCAAAAGATGTCCCAATTACGGAGGATAAACTGAATCAAACATACTTGCATTCTCCACCAAAACCTTTGGCATGCGCTGGCGGTTCATCAGGAGTGGGAAAGGATCTCGCCCATCGTTCCGTTCATGGACTTCTCGAATTTCCACTGTATCATCCATAAGATAGTAATGAATGATGTAGGTCCGACATTCACCAAACATGCTGTCTGTATCATCCCAGACTGCATAGAATCGAAGAACCTTTGAGGAATCCAAAGTAGTGACTTAAATAAGAATTCTACAAGTGGAGAGATTAACTTAACTACTTTGGCATTCAGATATCAGACAATGATGGAAAGATTAGCTACAAAGACAATGAAGTAATCGCAGATGGTAAAAAAAAAAATTCACCAAAGATAGAAAAACATACAAAAATTATATACCAGATGTCAACAGCTGTAAAATATTAAATAACAGGCTTATAAGTTTGTATTGAGAAAGCAGAATTCACTTTGATCCAAAATATTAGTCAGTGAAAGAGAAGCCAAATTAAAAGAGCAATGGAAACTATAAGACACTGATGAAAGAAATTGAGGAAGACACAAATAGGTGGAGAGATATTTTGTGCTCACAGTAAAAGAATTAATATTGTTAAAATGTCCATGCTACCCAAAGCAATCTACAGATTTAATGCAATCCCTATCAAGATTCCAATGGCATTTTTCACAGAACTAGAACAAATAATTCCAAAATTTGTATGGAACCACAAAAGACCCTGAATAGCCAAAAAACTCTTGAGAAAGAACAAAGGCAGAGGTACCATGCTCCCTGATTTCAAACTATACTACAACACTATAGTAATCAAAACAGTATGGCACTGGCATAAAAACAGACACATAGATCAACAGAACAGAAATGAGAGCCCAGAAACAAACTCACACTTCTATGGTCAATTAATTTATGAAAAATGAGGCAAGAATATACAATGGGGAAAGAGTCTCTTCAATAAATGGTGCTGGGAAAACTGTGGACAGCTACATGCAAAAGAATGAAACTAGACCACTTTCTCACACCATACACAAAAATAAACTCCAAATAGATTAAAGACCTGAAACATAAAACTCCTAGGAGAAACACAGGCAGTAAGCTTGTTGACATTGATCTGAGCCATGTTTCTTCGGATGTGACTCCAAAGGCAAAGGAAACAAAAGCAAAAATAAACAAATGAGACTACATCAAACTAAAAAGCTTCTATACAATGAAGAAAACTATCAACAAAATGAAAATGCAGCCTATTGAAGGGGAGAAGATATTTACAGATCATATCTGATAAGGAAGGGATTAACATCTAAAATATATAAAGAACTCCTACAACTCAGTAACAAAAAACCACAAATTCTGATTTAAAAAAATTTGGCAGAGGATCTGAATAGATATTTTTCCAAAGAAGACATACAAATGGCCAAGAGATACATGAAAAGATGCTCAACATCATTAATCATCAGAGAAATGCAAACCAAAACACCAATGAGGTATCACCTTACACTTGTCAGAATGGCTATCATCAAAAAGACAAGAAATAAGTGTTGGTTGGAGAAAAAGGAACCCTCGTACACTGTTGGTGGGAATGTAAATTGGTGCGACCACTATGGAAAACAGTATGAAGTGCCTCAGAAAATTAAAAATAGAAATACCATATGATCCAGCAATTCCACTACTGGGTAGCCTCCAAAGAAAACGAAACACTAATTCAAAAAGATATAAGCAGGGCACCTGGGTGGCTCAGTCGGTTAAGCGACTGCCTTCGGCTCAGGTCATGATCCTGGAGTCCCGGGATCGAGTCCCGCATCGGGCTCCCTGCTCGGCGGGGAGTCTGCTTCTCCCTCTGACCCTCCCCCCCCCATGTGTGTGCTCTCTCTCTCTCTCAAATAAATAAATAAAATCTTTAAAAAAAAAAAAAAAAGATATAAGCAACCCCATGTTCACTGTAGCATTATTTACAATAGTCAAGATTCGGAAATAACCTGTCCACCAATGGATGAATGGAGAAAGAAGATGTAGTTTATATATACAATGGAATATTACTCAGCCATATAAAAGAGTGAAATCTTGCCCTTTGCAACAACATGGATGGACTCTGAGGGTATTATGCTGAGTGAAACAAGTCAGACAGAGAAAGACAAATATTGCATAATGTCACTTATATGTGGAATCTAAAAAACAAAACAAACAAAACCAAACCCAGCTCATAGACATGGAGAACAGATTGGTGGCTGTCAGAGGGTAGGGAGCTTGGGATGCAGGTGGTGGGGGAATGGATGAAATAGGTGAAGGGGATCAAGAAGCACAAACTTCCAGTTATAAAATAAATAAGTCATGGGAACGTAATGTACAGCATAGGGAATATAGTCAATAATATTATATTAACTTTGTAATATGACAGATGGTAACGACTTATTGTGGTGACAATTCTGCAATGTATTCAATTGTCGAATCACTATGTTGTACACCTGAAGTTAATATAATATTATACATCAATTAGACCTCAATAAACAAAAAAAAAAAAGAAAGAAAAAAGAGCATTGTGTTTTATACAGGGGCTCATATGTATTAATAAAGGTATATGTGAACCATTTATATGTAATTAGTATGGAAAGAATTTTCATTTATTAATGTCTTTTTTTATCCATCGACATACCTCTTCTAGTAATAGTATCAACAACACAATCTTTAAAGACAAAAGAATAACAGATATATGATTGATATAAAGAATGTCCTTAAAAGGCGATGCTAGTGCTAGGCAAATTTTTCTGAACTAAAAGGAATTACATTTCTGAGAGAACACCAGCTGCAAAGAAGCACTGAGGATGATCTCCCCATCTTCTTTTGTACAGAAAGGAGAAGACCAAATCTGCCCCCACACACCAACTCACAGTGGGGAGGATAGGACGGTTGGAACAGAGCTGGAAAATACCTAGAATATTCTACACTCAAACATTCATATAAAATATAACAAGGAAGCATCTGCGATGAGATTTCTGTGAAATTACTATTTTAACATTAGAAATCTACCTATATGCAATAGATTCGAAATTTCCCAATAAATCACTTAGGGTTTCCCAAAGAAGGCTATGAAACGAACTCCTATTTGGGAAAAGAAGTAGTCGGTTGGAAACGTAAAGTGGGAAGCAGACATAGCTCAGGAATTGCTTTAAGATTGAAAGGTTTGGTGGAGGGGCGCCTGGGTGGCTCAGTTGTTAAGCGTCTGCCTTCGGCTCAGGTCATGATCCCGGGGTCCTGGAATCGAGCCCCGCATCGGGCTCCCTGCTCCGCGGGAAGCCTGCTTCTCCCTCTCCCACTCCCCCTGCTTGTGTTCCCTCTCTCGCTGTGTCTCTCTCTGTCAAATAAATAAATAAAATTTAAAAAGAAAGGTTTGGTGGAACTCCTAAGACTTAACTCCACAACCTCCTCTGGGTATCTTAATACAAAACTTGGGCATTCCTGTACCTCTAACTCTAGATGAAACCAGAAAAATCGCACTGTCTCCAAATGGCTAAATTACAGATGTAATGTTTTAAAACACACATCTACCAGAACAGCTTGCTAATAAACATGCATCACATGTGGAGATGAGCAAATCCACTGAGGTGCTGACGTCACTTACTTGTTTGTCAAAGGTGAGAAACTGCTTCAGTTGGTCAAAGTCCGAGGGGGTGACATACTTACGAAGAGGCTGTTTCCGGAGTTCAGTGTAAGGATCAAGAGCCATCTTCTCTGCTGGATTTAATTCAATTCCTTGACTTTCCAAAAATACCTAAATCGTGCAAAAGTAATGATTATCTCTCTTGAAGCTTCCAGGGGTATTAACTGATGGTGTAAAGATAAGTGTAATAATAATTTCTATGCCAATGTCCAAATTAATCATTAGCTTGCAGTTTGAAGCACGTCTTAGCAACATTAAGCCTCCAATCGACCCAACGCTATAATGCAGATAACAACTGATAATCACTGTAAGTATTCCATATTATCAAATTGCTAGGCAATAAGCTGAGCTAACTTGAAGACATGATAGTATGGTAACTGGCTCCATGTATGAATTTAGATCAATGAAATTTAGTTAGGTGCCCAAGACCCGAGTGAGTCTTAGGATTGCTTACATACACACATCTGAAACCCAACCACAGTTTCAAACAATATGTAATTCATACCAGGGATGGGGGCAAGCTACACAATGGCAACAAAGTTAAGCCGAAATCAAATTCCCAACTTTCAACTCACCAAAAACAAGTATCTGATTAAGTCCCCATCTCTACCCCGCTCCAAAAAGGAAAAGAATCACTGGTTATTTTAGACCAGAAAATATTTTAAGAAGGTTTTTTTTTTTTTTTTTTTGATTTTATTTATTTATTTGAGAGAGAGAATGAGAGAGAGCACATGAGAGGGGGGAGGGCCAGAGCGAGAAGCAGACTCCCCGCCGAGCAGGGAGCCCGATGCGGGACTCGATCCTGGGACTCCAGGATCATGACCTGAGCCGAAGGCAGTCGCTTAACCAACTGAGCCACCCAGGCGCCCAGACTAGAAAATATTTTAGCAAAATAGGAGAGACAAACCAAGTACTCAAATCTCACCAGACAAAGTTAAGGAAAACATCTGAACTTGATATGATCTTGTTTAATTTGCTAATTATAAGTAAATACAATATTTTCAGTAACTATATCTTTTAATACAACTTGGCATTTCTTCTTCATAAAAGCACCACAATAAGCTGGGTTTTTTTTTTTTTTTTTTTTTTTTTTGGTAATCAGAAAAGAACAATGTCATGGGATCTGTTTACATTCTAGAACTAGAAATTAATCTGAAATCTGGGTTTCTTTTGGGAATTGTGTGATTTGCTTTTGGACAATTCAATAGAAAATATGCAGGACTCAAAGCCAAAATACCTGGGTTCTAATATTAGCTCTGCTGCTAACTAGCTTGTAATCTTAATACTTAAAGTTTCACTAAGCAGTCTCCAGTATCTTTTAATATTAAAATACTGTGATCTCAATGTCTAGTAAAAGTACTGAGCTGGAGATAACGACTAACAATATTCTCCTCTCCCTTGAGATGATGTATTAGTGTAGCAGGATTATTGACTGAGGTATTTAATGGGGGTTTTACTCCTTTCTGTTGCTTTCAACAGATAACCAGGCCCTTTGTTAACCTTACCTTAGGGATTTTGGCAGGAATGCAGAAGCTTCCTGAAGTTTGACTATTCTTCCTGTCTCTTAGAAAAAGCCTAGACTCTTTGAAGAGATCATTCTAAAGTATCCCAGAAGGAGGGGAGAGAAGGAAATGTCTTTGAAGGCAAGGAGAGAAAAAGGGGGAAATTCTCCCAGACTGGAAAACAGACACAAGTTGAGGGGTCTCAGAAGAGCAAGACTCCACACGGGCTCTTACGGATGCTCGAAGCACACGGGCAGCCAGTCGGGCACATGGGTCTCGGGCACGCGAGGTCTCAGTATCTGACCTCGCACCAAAGCATCCAGGAGGTGCCCTTGAGCACTGACAGCCGATGGACCCTGCCTGTATGACCCCGTTAAGCCTGGGTGTGCCTTGTCGTTCTGAGGGCCTGGAATTTTTGGCAAAGCTGAGAGTGAATAGAAACAGCAGCCCAGTTGGATGGGAGTTCAAGTAGGCTTTATTTTTAAAACACAAAACAGTATTTCCTGCACACTTGCATATGCAGAGTAGGATTCACACCAGCTATACTGTCGGTCATACTCTAATGAAGATGGTAAGTTCTAGATCTCTGATTTCTGGAGTTAATTTTTTTTACTGTGTTAATTCTGTCTCTAGGACCAATGTTTATTTGGAGCAGTGAGGAGGGGCTCAGAAGGGGTGGTGGTGGTGATATATTTGATTAGAGGTGGCTCCTTGTTCAAGCCCACACCATAAAGACAACTATCTTCTTTATCCACTCATAGGTCCAGCCCTAATGAAAACCATCAAATTAGATAAGATGCGTATAAATTTTAAACTGTTACAGGAGCCAACCTCTAACAGATCGACTAATGAAAACATAATTTAATCTAGTCATCGATACCTAAAATATACAACTCTAGTCATTAGTAGTCATCAAAATACAGTTGATCCTATAGTTGCACTTTTGCCTACTTGCAAAAATTTATTAGTAACCTCCAAATCAATAGTCATGGTGCTTCTGTGGTCCTTTGCAGACACACGCAGAGTGGTAAAAATTTCGAGTTGTCTGATAACATACATTCCTAGCTGAGGTCAAATGAGATGACATTCTGCCTTCTTATTTCAGCTTCCATACTGAAAAAGTGTCCATTTAGATGTCTGTTTAGTGCCACTTTTTCACACTTCAGTGCTTTTGTTGCTTTTGCTGTTTAAAATGGCCCCCAACCTTAGTGTTAAAGTGCTGTTGTGTGTTCTACGTGCAAGGAGGCTGGGGTAAGTACTTAGTGTCACTAAACTGCACATCGAAGAAAAGTGGTTAAGGTGGTCACGTTTATGTTACGTACTTTTTATCTCACACACACACACACACACACACACACACACACACACACACAGAGCTGTGATGTGCCTTCAGGAGAAAGTACATGTGTGAGATACGCTTCCTTCAGGCATGAGCTCCAGTGCTGCTGGCCGTAAGTTCGAGGTTCATGAATCAACAAGGTATTTTCAACATGGCATCTTTAAACAGAAACACACATAAAACAAGCTTATAGAAACCTAACCTCGTATTTCTCCAAGGAGCGATGGATCCATAGTTGCTCATTAAGGGCTTGTGGTGACTTCCTAGCACAGAACTACCATCAACAATGAGAGTTGGGACCCCTGGGTGGTTCAGTAGGTTAAGCGTCTCTTTTTTTTTTTTTTTAAAGATTTTATTTATTTATCTATTAGAGAGTGAGCGAGAGAGAAACAGCATGAGAGAGGAGAGGGTCAGAGGGAGAAGCAGGCTCCCCGCTGAGCCGGGAGCCCGATGCGGGACTCGATCCCAGGACCCTGGGATCATGACCCGAGCCGAAGGCAGTTGCTTAACCAACTGAGCCACCCAGGCGCCCCCTAAGCGTCTCTCTTTATGAGAGGTGACTCACCGCTCAGGAATGAACTGCTGATATTCAGATTGTTCATAAAGAGACAACTGTAAAAATAGTCACAATACCTGAAATTTACATAACATCTTATAATTCCTCATTATAGGTACAGTTCTGAAACTGCCTGTGATAAAAAGGACCTCGAAAACCTAAAAAATGTGAGATCAAAACCTGTTTTCCCAAAGACGCTCTAGCACCTGTACCTTCTGTACTGTCTTTCGCTGTTGCTTTGGGATGGCACGGATGCCAGGGCTCCTTCCTTCACTCCCTTGGGGTCTCAGTTCAGGGCGTGGCCTCCCCTGGCCAGCCTCTATACACGCTCCCCACCCTCCCCTCCCTCTTCCTCAGCTCTAGTCCCTTTCGCAGCTCTGAGCAGCATCTGACAGGTTATATGTTGTGTGCTTACTTTTGTCTCCTCCGGCCAGAATGTAACAGCCTTTATGAGGACAAGTCTATATATGTGGCACCTAGAGCCACAAGGCTTGGCACAGAGCAGGCACTCAATAAGTATTTGCTAAATAAGTTACCAAACGCCAAACATAAATGAGTGGATTCAGAGGAACTCAGTGCGTGGTAAAGATTAATCATGTGGCATTTGGTAACATAGGATTAAAGGCACAAAAGAATTCAGAAACTATACCTTTGCTTCTAGAAATGTTTTAAACTAAGAGAAATTTAGAACTGACTTCCTAATACCTACATTTTGTGCTCAAGAAAGGACTCTGTGTCTATATACGTACACATAACTTTAAGAAAAGTTGTCAAAAATCCATACGTATGAAATAGAGGAAATGGAGGATTCTTCTCGATATAAACAAGCATTCTCCTTTAAAACTTGTTTTTATTTCAGGAATTCTTTAGATAGCCGGTTTCTCCAGAATAGAGCAAGTATGATTTACAGGAAGAATATGAACTGCACAAAAAATGTGAGGCTCATATCTGCTAATAAAGGTAATACTACTTTTGTAACTCAAACTTCAGATAAACCGTCCAATGCCTCTTTCACATTTCTATCCCATGAAGGGTGCTACCACTTGAACCAGCATGGGAACTGGTTCCTTATCAAATGATTCAGCTAGGATGCAAGTTTAATTTTATTTGAATGGGTATGTATCCATATCATTGTGAAAAAAGTGATATCACTACACAGTGTTGACACATTATCAACACACACACAAACACCTAATTAAACAACATAATAATCCATACAGGACAGATTACCAGTGTCCTCCTCTCACCCTTATATTTTTCTTTTTAAAGATTTTATTTATTTGAGAGGGAGAGAGCACGAGTGGGGGTGGTGGGGGGGGGGAGAGGCAGAGGGAGAGGGACAAGCAGACTCCTCGCCAAGCAGGGAGTCCCACACAGGGCTGGATCCCAGGACCCCAAGATCATGACCCGAGCCGAAGGCAGATGCTTAACTGACTGAGCCACCCAGATGTCCCTCCTCTTACCCTTATAAATGAAACGTATCCTTCCATAAATTAGAATGATGCCCAGACACGACAATTTCCAGGAATATATACTATACCTGCGTGAATCGGTCGCAGTCAACAATGCGGAAAGTTTTGCCATAAATTGTTATGTTTATTCCTCGATTCAGGTCTTTCCAATGGTAATGGTCTCCCTGGTTGTTCTTGGGTAGCCGCTGGCGTTTGATTAACTTGCCTTGAAGGATCCCAGAGTTTTCCACAACAGGCTCCACGACAGACATGCTGTCATCTTCCAGGTAGTAGTAAATGTTCACTTGGCGAATCCGATAATGTTCCTCAGTTGACATAGGAACATCTTCTTGGAAATAGGCATCAAATTTCAGCACCTATGACACACAAGGCAGGGAGAAATGGCATTGTATTAGTCTCTCATGCAAAAAACATCCAGTACCCTCCTCTAAAGAGAGCCGCTCGGGGAGAACTAAATACTCATCACTCCTATTTTCTAAATCGAAGGCTGCTAAACTACGGTCCGTGGGACCCATCTATCCCTGCCAGCTGAGTCTGTATCACCTCCAAGCTAAGAATGTTTTATTTACGTATTTAAATGGTTAAAAAAATCAAAAGGATAAAATCTCACAACACATGGAAATGATACAAAATTCAAATTTCAGTATCCATAAATAATTATGTAAATAATTAGCAGGTATTTGTCATGGCTGCTTTCCCATTACAAGGGCAGGATTGAGTAGCTGTGATAGAGACCACGTGGGCTGCTACTATGGACTGAATTTTGTCTCTTCCCCCCCCCCCCAAAAAAAATTTGTATGTAAAAGCCCTAACCCTTAATATGACTGTATTTGGAGACAGAGTCTTTAGGAAGTAATTAAGTTTAAGTGAGGTCCCAACAGTGGGGCCCTGATCCAACTGAATTGGTGACTTTGTAAGGAGAGGAAGACCTCTCTCTCAGCAAACCCACCCTGAGGAAAGGCCACGTGAGGAAATAGCAAAAAGGCAGCTATCTAAAGCCAGGAAGAGAGCCCTCACCAGAAACTGAAGCAGCAGGACCCTTGATCTTAGACTTCCAGCCTCCAGAACAGTGAGAAAATTAATTTCTATTATGTAAGACAGCACCAGTATATGGTATCTTGTTATGGCAGCTCAAGTAGACTAAGACATCTGCAAAGCCCCAAATATTTACGATTTGGCCCTTTACAGAAAACGTTTGCTGACCTTTGCTCTAGATACTCAAACTACACATAGACTACTTAGTAATGTGGTCCTTGATCAGATGGCTTAAAGACCTTAACTGTACTAGCTTCACTTCTGTGTCAAAAATCTCTTTTAGGATTTCTGCAAAGAGGGCGCCTGGGTGGCTCAGTTGGTTAAGCGGCTGCCTTCGGCTCAGGTCATGATCCTGGAGTCCCGGGATCGAGTCCCGCATCGGGCTCCCTGCTCGGCAGGGAGTCTGCTTCTCCCTCTCACCCTCCCCCCTCTCATGCTCTCTCTATCTCATTCTCTCTCAAATGAATAAATAAAAAAAAAAATCTTTAAAAAAAAAAGAATTTCTGCAAAGAGTCAAAAATTTGGGCAAGACTATAACCTTTGGTTTCAAAATGAAAACGAAGCCTCAAGTCCATTTCTTTAGAAGGAGAGTCCCCTGTAAATGCATATTAATGACATTTTCATCCTTAGAGAATTCATATGAATGAGACTCAAATCATCAATCCAGCACAGAATCTTTGGGTGGCATGTAAACACACCCTCACTGTACTCAGAAACATACATGATAGATGGAGCAAACCCTAGGTCCTCTGGGGAGCATCAGAGGGAAGCCAAAATGGCACATTCTGTTGCACGTTTAAAAAACATTTAAAAATACTAAAAGCTTGTGTTGACAAGCTTTGGGATTAATTTTAAAACTTTCTTTTATCCCATCTTTATTTTTAATATTTCCTCCCATGAAGAGAAAATATTAGAATGGTGTTGTAGGTAGACAAGAGTGTGAACCTAAAACTCCACTGGAACTAGAGGAACAAACCAAGAAGACCATTTAGCGAAGACACAGATATGGCTTGATGAATGGGAAGATGCATAATTTTATACATGAGTGCTGTTGCTAAAAAGGTGTAGTGTCTACTGTGGAAAAACAAGATTAAAAACCAAAGAGATCGGGCAATTGCTTATGTGAAATAAGCATATAATGGAATAAAACCTTAAAACTCTTAATAAAAAGATGAAATGCATGAATGGAATAGAATGTTTAAAGGAGAAAGATAATACAGTAAAAACCAAAGACAAAAGATCGTTTTCAAGTAACATTGTAGATCCACTACAAAGAACTGAAATGGAGACATGATCACTATAAGTGGGGGCATGATCACTAATTCATGCATGAAATGGTCTGTAATTTGAGCCACAGATATATAAATACACGAAATGTGAGAGCCAGAAATAATCAGCTAATTGAACCTCCCTCATTTTACAAATGGAGACTCAGGGTGGTAGAGTGACTTGCCTGAGGCCAAACTCAGGGTTAGGGGCACAGCTGGGGCTGAAACTATCTGTAGACTCATAGAGAAACAAGAAAAATGTAGAGAAATAGCCAACCATATATCTGATACTGCTTAGGTTCAGCTTCTGAATGGATATATGAATATGTTCCTATTGGATGAGTTCAATGAGATGGGGAAAGGGGGATGGTATGGGTTCTGGCTGAGACATTTAAAAAATTTTTTAAACTAAGTGATTAATGAATGTAAATGGTATAATTCCACCATCAGGTTATTTTCTATTTTCCAGCCTCTATTTTCAATAGGTACTCAATTAGGGGTGCCTGGGTGGCTCAGTCGTTAAGTGTCTGCCTTCAGCTCAGGTCATGATCCCAGGGTCCTGGGATCGAGCCCCGTATCAAGCTCCCCGCTCCGCGGGAAGCCTGCTTCTCCCTCTCCCACTCCCCCTGCTTGTATTCCCTCTCTCGCTGTGTCTCTCTCTGTCAAATAAATAAATAAAATCTTAAAAAAAAAATAGGTACACAATTAAAGTTGACTAGCTAGATGAACACTATAGACATTTAACAAAAAGAATAAAATGAAAAGAAAGACAAAAAAAAAAGACAGAAAGAAAATAGGCTAGGAGTAAATTAGGAAAGCTAACTTGTAAAAACTGGTCAATGGTTCTCAGACTCAGTTATACATAAAAATCATCTGGAAATTAAGATCGATGAGGGTTAGGGTGACATCTCAGTTTCGTAAAAGTCCCACTAGGGATTCTGTTGCATGGCCAGAGTTAGGACAACCTCACCTTAAAGAGGAGGCCCACTGACAAGGAGAATCAAGGATGATATGGAAATGTCAACAGATGGAACTAAAATAGCTCACATTACAAAAGCATAAGGGTAAATGAGACAGAAATGAAAATGTTACATATCCTTTGGTTATATTATGCCAAACCTGAAACATTCCCTGAAAAATGAAAACTTATGAAGACAGCCTGGAGAAAACTGACAAAAGATGGAGTTGTTGTCGTGATGCATTTCACAAAGACTAAGGGTTTGCCATCAGTACAGATAAGACTTCCAAAAAGTAGGGGCACCTGGGTGGCTCAGTCGGTTAAGCGACTGCCTTCGGCTCAGGTCATGATCCTGGAGTCCCTGGATTGAGTCCCACATCAGGCTCCCTGCTCGGCAGGGAGTCTGCTTCTCCCTCTGACCCTCCTCCCTCTCATGTGCTCTCTCTCATTCTCTCTCTCTCAAATAAATAAATAAAATCTTTAAAAAAAAAAAAAAAAAGGCTTCCAAAAAGTAGACAGCACAGAGCAGGTAAACATGGAGCAATATGAATTCAAGAATTCAGAATTCACCCAACTTTTCTTTAACTGTATTTGGAAAATATTTCAGTGAAGTCTACAGGGAATTATTTTCTGTAATAAGCTTCCTGACTAAAGAAAGCCTCTTTCAATCCTGAGTTCAGCTGTCTATGACTAAAGGTTGAGGCATTTGAACAATTTTCTCCTCAGAGCCCTCTGGAAAACCTGTGGTTTGCTGTTGACTTTTCTGCAAACAGTTGGCTCTCAGAAATCTGAATTCAAGGGGTACCCGGAAATCCCAGATGATACCTTTTTGTCAAAAGCCACATGTGCAGGAATAAATTCTGCAGGTGGGGCCTGCTTAGGTTGGCCATAAGTTAAAATCGGTGCCTTGTTGGCCAACTCATCCAGCTCAGCCTGGGACAGCTGGTTGACCTGGAGCCGCTCCCCGCCTATACCAACTGTTGGACGTCGAACAACTGCATAGCCATTCCTGTAGCCCAGAGTCTGGCTTCTATGAAATGCTGTTTTCTGAGGAACAAAAGAAGTGTTTCATTAATAATATTTTATAAAAATGTGTTAGGTAAAAGAGCTAACTTTCAAAAACATCATAACTTAAACCTGCACTTAAAAACATCACAAACCTTGTATCAAAATGCTTACCTGTATTAGAAGGTTCTTATATTTTAAGCTAAAATACCTGGTCAGGAACAGGGAGAAGAGCAGCAGTCTGAGCTTAAAATAAAACTTAAAGCCCTGCTCCAGAATGCCCAATATAATTACCAGCTCACTTTTCATGAGAAACTAATATATTATCTTATCTATACTCAATCTTTCACTTAATTCTTTCTGTGTTTTTAATCTTATCCAGTGTTCATAAACCATGGAACCTAGAAGATCTGACTCTGAGAAATGAATTTTTGCCTAAAATAAAAGGCCTTTCTTGTTATAATAATACTGATACATTCATACAACTCTTTGGAAAGCAAGTGAGTATTATACGTTTAAAGTCTTGAACACAATAAATTCTACCCTAGATACTTTATTTTAAAAATATAATCCAAAATTATGAGAAAGAACAATATGCCTAAAGCTGACCATTGTAATGTTAATTACAATAGTAAAACATTGGAAACAATATAAAAGACAAACATATGAGTTAATGATGGAAAACTCACTTAATGGACTGTGATGCAGCCATTAAAATATTGGTTTTAAAGACCATGTGGCAATCTGCAAAAAATGTTTATGATTTAATAAGCCCAAAAAAGCAGTATATAAAATTATATGTACACCATAGGGCACCTGGGTGGCTTAGTTGGTTAAGTGTCTGCCTTCGGCTCAGGTCATAATCTCAGGGTCCTGGGGTCGAGCCCCACATCGGGCTTCCCACTCAGCTGGGAGTCTGCTTCTCCCTCTCCCTCTGATCCTCCTCCCCACTTGTGCTCTCTGTCTCAAATAAACAAAATCTTAAAAAAAAATTAAAAAAAATAAAATTATATGTGTACTATAATTAGAAGCATGCAAATACGTGCACAAAAAGAAAGTGGATTTGGATAATGTTCTCTGTATTCTTTCTGAATTAAGTTGATTTTTTTTATAATGAACATATTTTTTTTTTTTCGGAAATTGAAAAAAACAAAAGATTAAATAAAAAAAGAAAAAAGTGGAAAGGAAATATTTTTGAAGGCAGAGGAGAGACCAAAATGGTAACATAGGACACCCCAGCCTCCCTACCCTTCCACAAAGATCAACAATTAGTTATCCAAGGACAAAAACAGCTCTGGAAGAGCTTTGGAGTCCAGTTAGGAGGTTTTAGGAACACAGTGGAACAAAAAACCTGAGAATAACTACAGAAGGAGAAGGAAAACGTCATTTTGCTGCATCATCTCATCCCCAAGCCAGCACTGCTCAGTGTCAAGAGGGAACTTCCTGGCCAGAAAGAGATCCCCTGGCCAGGAAGGAAGAGCAACCAGCTTCTCCAGTCTTTTGGGGCAGTCCACAAAGGTCCCACTTCAGTTTCCTCCCACCCAGACCAGCAGAGCTGAAGTGTATAAGGCCAGCTAGGAACACGGATGCAAAGCAGGGGCTATTGGCAGCAGCCCCTCAGTCGGAGTGACTGTGGTATGTAGACACCTGCTCTGCAGACAAACCCGGCAGATCTTACCACTGAGCCAAAGCCAAGGGCCAGGATGGCTACGGCCACTGGGTACCCCCTGCAGATTTCATCAGTGTTCATCCCACAGGCATTCATGATGCCAAGCATCAGAGCCCCTTGCCCAGCCTCCCCTCCTCACATCCTCGCCAGAGCCTGGGAACCACGCCGGCAGCCAGCTCGGGCCTCTGCAGCTGCTGGAGTGCAAGAGGCCAGCACAGACACCCTCTGGCTGACCCCTCCCCCGTTCATGCACTTGGAACTAGCCCCTCCAGCTGTGCATCTGCACACGGCCCAACCCTCATCACAGGCCTCCACTGCAGTGTGCATGCTGGGGGGGGAGAGTGTGCAGCCACAGGAGGACACACCAACAACCAGGGCCTCGTGCAGCTGCCAGTGAGCCCATAGTTGGCCCTGGCCCTTGCCTTCTCTGCTTCCCACCACCATGTGTGTGTCTGCAAACGGCCCCTGCCACTACACAGGCACCCACAGTTGGCACCCGACAGCCAATTATGTGTCCCAGCTCCAGTCACCACTGCTGTTTGCCCTGCTCCCTGGACCTGGAGGTCGCTAAAGACCCCCAAAGCCCTTGCAGCCACTATGGACCCCCTGTAGCACCTGTCAAGGACTACACAGTTGTCAGTGCCAAAGACCCCAGTGGCCTGGGCCAAAGAGACATCATGTCCCCTAAACCTAAACCCAGTGCCGCCACAAAGCCCTGCACTTGGTGCCCTACACCACCAGGCCCAGGATCACAGCAAGCTGCAGCATACCTCCACCCACAGGTGAAAGTCATCCCTTACCAAAATCAGTCCATAAAGTCTGGAAGAGGTAGCTGCTTCTTGATGTGAAGATACCTAGGCAAGATACAGGGATCATGAAGAATCAGGGAAACATGATTCCACCACCTATAGTAACTGGCCCCAAAGAAATGGGGAACCAGGAATTGCCTAATGAAAAAAATTCAGAATTGTCCTAAAGATGCTCAGAGACCTACAAAAGAACAGAGATGGGCAATTTAATGATGTCAGGAAAACAACAAAGGAACAAAGTGAGAAGTTCAACAAAGACATAGAAAACATAAAAAAGAACCAAACAAATTTTGGAGCTGAAGAACACAATGACTGAACTGAAGAATTCAACTATAGCTTCAAAAGAAGATCTGAACAAGCAGAAGAAAGAATCTGTAAGCTTGAAGACAAATAACTTGAAGTTAACCCACAAAGGAGCAAAAAGAAAAAAGAATGAAAAGGAATGAAAAAAGCCCATGGAACTTATGGGATACCAACAAGAAAAATCATGTATGTATGTATCACTGGATCCTTCTCTAGAAGGAGAATACAGAAAGGGGTAGAAAGCTTTTTATTTAAAGAAATAATGGCTGAGAATTACTCAAACCTGGGGAGAGATTTGGACATTCAAGTTCATGAAGCTATTGGTACTCAAAACTTCAATCTAAAATAATCTTCTCCAAGACACATAATAATAAAATCAAAGACAAAGAGAGAATTTTAAGAGCAGTGAAAGAAAAAACCTCTCTCATACAAGGGAACTTCCATAAACGATCAGCAGATTTTTCAGCAGAGATCTTGCAGGCCAGTGTTAAAAGAAAGATACTGCCAACACAGGATACTTTATCCAAAAAAAATGTGCTTCAGAAAGGAAGGCAAGATAAAGACCTTCCCTAATAAACAAAGATGAGAAGATTTATTACCACTAAACCTGCCTTATAAGAATGCTGAAAGAAGTTCAAAGCTAAAACAAAAAGGCGTTAATTAGTAACATGAAAATATACAACACATGGATAAAGTGAGCATATAGTCGGATTTAGAATACCCTAATACTGTAACATGGTGATGTGGTCACTTCTTAATTCTAGTACAAAGATTAAAGGACAAAAGTACTGAAAACCTCTGTAGCTCCAACAATTTGTTAGTGGACACAAAATATAAAAAGATATAAATGGTGACATCAAAAAACCTAAAGCGAGGAGGGTAAATAAGGATAGGGTGTTTATATGTGATCAAAGTTGAGCTGCTATCAGTGTAAAATAGACTGCTACATATATGTTTCATGTGAGTTTCATGGTAACCACAAAGCAAAAGCCTACAGCAGCTTCACAAAAAATAAAGATAAAAAAATCAAAGATACTACTATGACCACTCATCAATCCACAAAGGAAGACAAGACAGGAACGAGGGAACTACAAAACAGCCAGAAAACATTAAATGGCATTAGTAAGTCCTTACCTATCAATAGTTACTCTAAACATAAATGAACTGAATTTTCTAATCAAAAGACAAAAAGCTGGATGATTTAAAAAAAAAAAAAACCCACAAGATCAACTATATGCTGCCTATGCTGTAAGGGACTTGCTGTGGCTTGAAGCACGTACATAAGCTGAAAGTGAAGGAATGGAAAAAGATAATCCATGCAAGTGGGAACCAAAAGAGAGCATGGGTAACTATGCTTACAACAAACAAAAGAGACTTTAAGCCAAAAATGGTAACAAGAAACACAGATGGTCATTATATAACGGTAAAGGGATCAATTAATCAAGATATAACAACCACCTGAAACTAATATAACACTATGTTAATTATGCTGGAATTAAAATAAAACAGAGGGGAAAAAAGATATGATCATAAATATACATGCACCCCACATCAAAGCAGATACTAACAGATCTGAAGGGAGAAATAGACAACAAGACAGTAATAGTAAGGGATTTCAATAGATGACTAAATCAGATAGGAAATGAACAAGGAAAGGTTGGATTTGAACCATTCTTTAGACCAAACAGACCTAACAGACATAAAAAGAAAAATCCATCTAACAACAGCAAAATACACATTCTTCTAAAGTATATCAACATTCTCCAGGATAGGTTATATGATAGGTGACAAAACAAGTCTTAGCAGATTGAAATCATACCTAGTATGCTTTTGCACCACAATGGTATGAAACCAGAAATCAGTAACAGGAAGAAAACTGAAAAACTCCCAAATATGTGGAAATTAAGCAACACACCCTTGTACAACCAGTGGGTCAGAGAAGAAATCAAAAGGGAAATCAGGGCGCCTGGGTGGCTCAGTCGTTAAGCGTCTGCCTTCGGCTCAGGTCATGGTCCCAGGGTCCTGGGATCGAGTCCCACATCGGGCTCCCTGCTCGGCGGGAAGCCTGCTTCTCCCTCTCCCATTCCCCCTGCTTGTGTTCCTGCTCTCGCTATGTCTCTCTCTGTCAAATAAATAAATAAATAAATAAAATCTTTAAAAAAAAAAAAAGGGAAATCAAAAAGTATCTTAAAACAAATGAAAATAGAAGCACAACATATGTAAACCTTTGGGAACCTGCAAAAGGAGTTTAATAGGGTTTTTTTTGGTTTTGTTTTGTTTTAGACAGCAAGAGAGAGAGAGCAGTGGGGGTAGGGATGGGGGTGCTGAGGGAGAGAGAGAATCCCAAGCAGGCTCCCCGCCCAGGGCAGCACCCAACACGGAGCTCCATCCCACAACCCTGAGATTATGACCTGAACCAAAACCAAAAGTCGGATACCCAACCAACTGAGCCACCCAGGTGACCCAATAGAGGATTTTATAGTGATAAATGCATGCATTAAGAAACAAGAAAGATCTCCCTGATATCAACACCAGATAAGGATACTATAAAAAAAAGAAAGTTACAGAGCAACATCCTTGATGAATATAGATGCAAAAATTATCAAAAAATATTAGCGAACCAAATTCAACAGCTCATTAAAAGGATCATACATCATGACCAAGTGGGATTTATTCCTGAGATGTAAGGATGGCTCAACATACACACATCAGTACTTGTTATACAACACATTAAGAGAATGAAAGATAAAAATCATATGATCATCTCAAGAGATGAAGAAAAAGACAAAACATCCATTCATAATAAAAATTTGACAAACTGAGTATAGAAAGAACATACCTTAACATAGTAAAGGCCATATGTGACAAGACCATAGCTAACATCAAACTCGATGGTGAAGGGTTGAAAACTTTTCCTCTAAGATCAGGAACAAGACAAGGGTGTCCACTCTTACCATTCCTATTCACCATAGAACTAGAAGTCTTGGCCAGAGCAATCAGGCAACAACAAGAAGTAAGAGGCATCCAAATAGGAAAGGAAGAAGTAAAACCCTCTTTGTATGCAGATGACATGATCTTACATTCAGAAAACCCTAAAGACTCCACCAAAAAACTGTTAGAACCAATGAATTCAGTAAAGTTGCAGGATACAAAGTCAACGTACAGAGAAAAATTGTGTTTCTATATACTAACAATGAACTATCTGAAATTGAAATTAAGAAAATAATTCTGTTTACAATTCTATACAATTCTGTATAGCATAAAAACAATAAAATACTTAGGAATAAATTTCAGTACATGAAAAACCTATACACTGAAAACTATAAGACACTGATGAAAGAAATTAAAGAAGGCACAACCAAATGGAAAGATACCTTGTGTTCTTGGATTGGAAGAATTAATACTGCTTAAATGTTCACACTATCCAAAGTGATCTACAAATTCAATGCAATCCTTATCAAAATTGCAATGGCATGTTTCACAGAAATAGAAAAAACAATCCTAAAATTTGCATGGAACCACAAAAACCCCCAATAGCCAAAGCAGTCTTGAGAAAGAAGAACAAAGCTGGAGGCGTCACACTTCCTGATTTCAGACTATCATTACAAAGCTACCGTAATCAAAACTACGTGGTACTGGCATAAAAAGAGACACATAAGCCAATGGAACAGAATAGAGCCCAGAAATAAGCTCATGCATATATGGTCAACTGTCTTTGACTGGGTGCCAAGAATACACAATGGGGAAAGGACAGTCTCTTCAATAAATGGTGCTGGGAAAACTGGGTACCCAGGCAAAAGAAAGAAACTGGATCCCTATTTTATAGAACTCACAAAAATTAACTCAAAATGATTGAAGACTTAAACATAAGACCTGTAACTGTAAAACCCCTTGAAGAAAAAAAGGGAAAAAGCTCCCTGACATTGGTTTTGATATAATACCAAAAGCACAGTCAGCGGAAGTAAAAATAAACAAGTGGAACTGCATAAAATTAAAAAGCTTCTGTACAGCAAAGGAAATAATCAACAAAATGACAAGGCAACCTAGGGAATGGGAGAAAATATTTACAAACTGTCTTAGTCTGTTCAGGCTAGTCTAACAAAATACCAGAGACTGGGTAGCCTCCCCGCCCCTCTTAGTCATTATGGTTCACCTTCTGAATGCTTTGAGTGTTATACACACCTAGTTCTTCAGTGCTGAGTAAAGATAGTGACCAAATAGGCAAATAGGTTGACACTTGGACCGTGTATTTAAAATAGAAAATATGTCCAGGGCACAGTTCTTCTTATATGAAGTACAGCAATGTATATTCTCAGAGCCTGGGACCTACAGTCTGCACATTTGTAATCCCCCAAATCGACTCAACCCTGCCTTGTGGGTAACCCACACTCACCAACACCAAATGCTTAGGCTGCTCCTGCACGGGACAGGAATGTGCCTACATTTTCTAACTTACATAGAATGAAAAAGCCCACTGAAGGAAAAGCTCTATGATGCTGTGTCTTAATGCAGGGATAATTATGAAGAAGAGGCTCAGAATCCACACTCCCTCACCAAAATTTCAATTTCAGTTCATTCTCCCAAAGAAAATAAATGGACTACGTATTTTATCTTACCTTTATATACATGGAAAGGAGCTTACAGCTTAAATTACTAAGCTATACAAATACAATTTATTATTGTCTCATCTATGATAGTTTACTAAATAATTCTGTCAAGGGCTAAGCTATGTCAGGAGGAAAAAAAAAAAACAAGCTTTTTTTTTTTTTTTTCTACAGAATACAACTAAAAACAGTTAAAGTAGGGAAGGAGCAAAATCATCTAATCAGGAATCTTTCATTAAAATGTTAGAAAAGAATAGGACCGGGGGAAGAAAAAAAAAACCAGCTAATCAATTGTGGTTGAAAGGACTGGAATGGAATTATCTCCTACAAAGCAGGGAGGGATGGCTTGGGAGGAAGATAGGCAAGTGTTGAAAGTCTAACTTTTGGAGAAACAGCAATTGAGAAAGAAGATAAAACAGGACTGGGGAGAAGGTGGGACTACGCTGTAGACAAGTCAGAAGTGCTGAACGGAAAAGGGACGGGGCTAGGTAGAAGCATAAATGAGGAGGGCGGAGACTGCGTAAAAGAACCTGGTGGAAAGAGGAGAATGAGCATAAATGATTTATATAAGACAGGAGACGGAGCTGGGAGGGGGTAAGATTAGTGGGTCCAGAATAAGGAAGCGGAAGGAGGCGAGAGGGAATGATAGGCCTGGGGAGACGGGCAGGATGGGGCTGTGGGAAGGAGGACGAAGATGCAGGGAGGCTGATTGGGAGAAGGGGCTAGGCTGGGGGGCTGAGGGCGGTTAAGAAGGGGGCTGGGCAGAAAGGGGTACGGTGTGGGAGAATGAGCTCGGAGAGGACCTAGCCAGAGCTTGGGAGGAAAGTGGGGGAAAACAGAGATCCAGAGGGAGGAGAGGCAGGGGCTAAAGGAGCAGGGCAGGAGGAAGAAAGCAGCTAGGACGACGAGAACGAAGGAGGCCAACAGACTGCCAGGATGGAGTGAAAAAACTAGAGAGGATGGAGCGGAGGGCAAAGGCTGGGAGAGAGAGGGTGAGGCTGGAGGGGAGGACGCAGGAATTGTGGTGGCGGACAGAGAAAAGGTGAGGACAGAGGACGGGGTCTGAAGGGAGAGGGCGATCTTGGGAGGAGGAGGCAGGTGCACCAAGGGGCGAGCCCTCCGAGGCCGCCCGGGGGTGGGGCCGAGAAGTCCTCACCGTGAAGTCCTTAAAGGACGTGCCCGGGAGAAAGGGCAGGCCGTGCACAGGGTTGGACACCATCGCCGCCGCTTTCGCCGCCGCCACCTGGGTCGGGGCTTGGCCTCCCGGGTTGCCCGGGCGACAAGCCGCGGACGCCGGCCTCGCGGAGCTCCATGGTAATGCCAAACATCCGGAGCGCCGCGCGCGGGGGCGGGGCCTGAGGCGCGGGCGCGACGGGTCTGCGCGTGCGCCGCCCGCGGGCCCGGCGTTCTGACTGAGGTGGGGGCTGGTGGGCGTGGTGGCAGGAGGTGACTGCGAGGAGGCTCCCCTCGTCGCCTTGAGGTGCAGGGGTGGGGGCCAGCCTTTAGAGGGGTTACAGTGGAGGGGAAGGTGCTTCCTTCCGTCCACCCAGTCCTCACCGCTCCCCGCCCGCGCCGTGAGCTCGGGCCCCGCCTTCTCCCAGCCCCGGGAAAAGGGCTCTTGTCCCGGTTCACACTGAAGTGTCAATGGTTGGTTCCGGCTGAAAGTGGCACCTCGTGCCCGTGCTTGTTGGGGGCAGGGGCTGCGGATTACTCAGGGTTGTATCTCTTGCTCAAGGATGTTCAGTGAACTAATGCAACCGTCTCGTCCCTGATCTTCCCATTGCTGCATTATCATTTTCCATCTTCGCCTCTCCTTATTCTACGGGTCAACACCTGCCGCTCTGCAGCCTCTCAATTCTTGAAGGCCTGGGCCTTGCCTATTCACCCCGGGACACTCAGTATTCGTTGACTGTAGGGCTATAGGGTGCTTATCTCAATTCTCTTGATCTCTATACCTATCTGCCGCTGCAGTGCAAAGATACGACCCACAGGGGGAAATGCGTCTCCTTCGAAGAGAAAACTAAGTCATAAAGACGCAAACAAGCGGGGTGAAATAGTGTCAGGATCGTAGGTATTCTCGCCTTTGGTGATTTTTATAAAACTTGTTTAAATTATTATGCCTTTAAAGAAATATAATCTCGTTCATGAAGCATCTTCAGGAAAGAAAGAAAAAACCTATCCATCAGCACTGAGGAGTTTAAAAATAAAAACAAAAAACAAACAAAACCCTGGTGCCCAGACATGGGATTCATTAGGTCTGAAATAGAGTTCAGGAATCTGATTTTTATAACAGCTGTTCCTGATAATGAGCCAGTTTAGGAACATGATAGAGTAGCAAGCCTGCCACAGGAAGCATAGCTCCACGTCATGGGTAGTTTAGTGCTAATGCAGACAGCAGCTTTAGTTTTATTGCTGCTTGTCAGAGCAAATCCCCCTATTGGGCTTCACTAATGGGCATGAAGCTCAGGGGGCGAAGGACATGAATCCACTGATGGCACCTGAAGCAGTTATGTGGCTGTCTACCACATCCCGCCCAGTTTATTTTCCGCTAACCTCTCCTCTCTCACTACTTCTGTTTTCCTGTTCTTGTCCCCTCCCCCCCTTTTTTAAGATTTTATTTATTTATTTGACAGAGAGAGACACAGCGAGAGAGGGAACACAAGCAGGGGGAGTGGGAGAGGGAGAAGCAGGCTTCCCGCGGAGCAGGGAGCCCGATGCGGGGCTCGATCCCAGGACCCTGGGATCACGACCTGAGCCGAAGGGAGACGCTTAACGACTGAGCCACCCAGGCGCCCCCTCCCCTTTTTTTACCTTTAAATTTTTTTTAATTTTCGATTAATCTATTACTTTAATGCAGGCATTTAATGCTTTAAAAATCGATGAATTACCATTGTTGAATTTACTGAAAACTTTAAAAGCATCTGTCCATTGCATTATATCTTAGCCACTGACCTAGGATACAAGCCAGCTACTGGAAGAATACTTCAAAATGGTAAGTTAAAAAAAAAATGGTAAATTCAACCTTTAAAGAGGTTGAAGATGCCTCTCTCACTTCTCTCCACCTCATCGATGCTGAGTATCCAGAAACACTGGTAGCTATAATCCTTGCTGACTCTTGATAATAACCTTTAACTCTTACCAGTTATATAATCCTGCCCTCCCCTCTATCTTAATAAAAGTAAATCCATGGCATTAGGATACACTTGAAAGAGCCCTTCTGGACTAACTGCATGGTTGCACTTGGGTCTATATTCCCTAGATTGGGTAGGGAAGGAGTCCATGGGGGCTGGAAAGGGTAAGTCATGCCTAAGCCTATTGTCCATTGTGTCATCTGTTTCTATTTGAGGAGTGGCCTCTGCTCAAATGCCTTTCTGTTCCAGAAGAACACAATAGTTAAATGGCTAACCAAGTGTGTTTTAATACTTTCAGACCCTAGAAGTGCATGGTGAGGAAAACTTTTCTTGGTCTATATTCTCCTAAAAATGCCATCACCCCTGAGGAGAGGAAGCTGGTCCGTGTTGCATCAATGCTAAAAAGCACAGGGACAAGTGTGTAAAGAAGGGTGGGGGGGATAAAAAAAAAATAAAGGTAGGGCTTCGGAAAACTGCTTGAACCCTGAAGTTTGGTATGATTAGGAGTTTATATCACAGGGCGCCTGGGTGGCTCAGTCGGTTAAGCTGCTGCCTTTGGCTCAGGTCATGATCCCAGGGTCCTGGGATCAAGCCTCTCATGGGGCTCCCTGCTCAGCGGGAAGCCTGCTTCTCCCTCTCCCTCTCCCCCCACCGCCTGGCTTGTGCTCTCTCTCTTGTTCACTCTCTCAAATAAGTAAATGAAATCTTTTTTTAAAGAGTTTATATCCCGTTTCTCCCAAACATGACTACTCAGCATGGAGCAGGCTTCAGTCTGCACTCACCATTTTCCACTTGGTGCAATATACAGGAGAGAGCAGGAAACTGACCATCCCTGACAGCTCAAGTAAAAAGTGCCACGGTCTGAAGGCTGTGCATAAAGCCTGGACTCAGAAGACCACAGAAATATCACATGACTTTAGCAGGTGTTTCACAACGTGGGGAAAGGAAAATATGGAAAGAGCAGTCTGCCAGCAGACCAAACCCGAAAGAGGGCCTCATGCTGGTTGATGACTCCCAGGAACTGATGGGAGATAGCAGACTGGCAGAGGTTAAAATAAAGCAGTTGCCTAAATTAGGCATCTCCTTTTTCAGGATTTTGCCCAGAGCGCTGGCTTTATCCAGAATTTGTTTGCAATCCTGTGATATTATTCTTCAGTACCTAAAGTCACAGGACATATATCAAGCAGGCGTGTGTGTGTGTGTGTGTGTGTCTCATAGATATTTATGCAATGATTTTGGGTGCTCTACTTCCCTCTGCTGGATAAAAACGGTACAGCATGCTTTCTGAGAAACTCAATTCTACACCTGTAAGTTTGAAGTGCTGGGGGTGTGGCTAGTGTGTGACCATAGTGATTAAGACCTTGCAGGGGAGTGTCCCTCAGTCAGAGTGCTATCCAGCGTTCCTTTCCACTGCTCACTCCTTAATTTCTGGAACCTCGTATCCAAGAATGCCCAGTCAAGCCACCTCGATCTTTGCAAAGTATGGCAGAAGGAGAAACATCATCAGGGATTTCCAAGTAGTTATAGGGGCACTTTAGGTCCTAGATTTAGGACCCACAGGAAATCTTCATTTGACACAAACTCATGCAATTTGGGTTTAGTTTTGGCCTTTCAGTGGTTTCCTGCCAGGGGTTCCGAAAAACTTGTGTTTCTGCTGCTTTTTTCTTCCTTAAGTCAGACACATTCTATGACTTTAGTTGATTCAGATGGCATTCCCTTCTCTCTGAAAAAGCCTATCACACATCACCTCACAGAATCAGAGATTTCACAGGCTATAAGCATCATAAAGATAGGTTCTTTGTTTTGCTCACTGCCATTTTCCCGGATCCCAACACAGTGCTGACACCTCATAAATACTCAATAAGCAGTTGTACAATGATTGACCAATTAAGTGAGTGAATGACTTTTGAGTCACTGGAATGACCCAGTATTTTTAACTGCCGGTCTCCATTAGGAGGCGGTAAAATCAACTTAATGGATTGTGACAACAGTCAGAATTTTTCATTAAAAAAGGGAAGAAATAGGATATAAATTATCAGGATGTATCCCATATTATATGGGTAAGAATAATTTACTGAAAAAGTTTTCAAACAATGTACATACACATTCATATTCCGGGTATTTTTTTCATGGTCACAATCAAAAAACTTGGAAATCGATCGACACTATCCAGCCCACTCATTTTACTGATGAGAAATCCCCAGCCCAAAAGAGATTAAGAAACCATCAGCTAATGACTGGTTCCCAGCTGAATATTTCTTACACTCCACCTCATCTTCTCTCAGATGGAAAAGATACTCCTCCTTCATTGACCTTGCAATCCTGCTTGTCAGTCATCTCTGATCTAAGAAGGCTTTTAACAGTATGGACAAAGAGAAATATAAGAGTGATGTGGCAGTAATATCCACTATAGTTGTGGATTCCAAATGTGGGCAGGCAGGTGGAGTCCATTAATTCAGGTAAATGGTAACCTTGAAACAATGGGGAAATGCCTTTGATACCCCCTCTCCCATTGCACACCTCAAACAGTCTTCCTTTTCTCCTTTTATATATGCAGCATGGAACAGAAAATGAAACACCAGGTTGGGGTCTTAAGAACCATAGTCGTGTCCTCACTGTGTTATGAATATTTGTGTGAGCTCAAACAACTTACCTACCTGCGATTTTGTTTTTTTCATCTCTAAAATGAGAAGCCTGAACCAGAATTAATGATCACTAATTGTTTGGGGGTCATAGGGTCATCTTGAAAACCAAGTGAAAGCTATGGATGAAAAATATGCAGAACCTTAGGAAAATAAAACATGTATTAATTTGTTATGAGTAGAGAGAAATCCTTCCCGAGGACAGAGAGCTCCCATTCTTGGAGATACCTCCGAGAGCCCATGGAAAGGGTGGACACTTCTGTACAGAACCCACAGCACCCTGCTCTGCATAAAGTGATAGAAATAATAATAATTATGACAATGATTGCCACTAGTACTTATTGAATGCGAACTTTGTGCTGAGGTATTTTTACCTCGGTAAAATTAGATTCCAAAATGACTTGTTCTTGCTGGAAAAAAAAACAAAAAAACACTGAGTGGAGATGCTTTGCATGTTTCCATAGTTGTCTTTGAGAAAAAGAAATTGCGTTAGCCCAGAATAGTGCTCAAGTTCACTTTAATGAATAATAGGATATATTTAACAGGTCCTGAAGATAAGGAAGGATTCACTAGAGAAGTGTAGGGAAATAATCAGGATAGTCGGTGGTTCTTAAAGCTGGTTTGAGTCCTCGAAGTTCTTCCAGACGGTCACAGATGGCTTCTGAGACTGACATTTGTCATGTGACTAGGTCTGCATTGGATTCTAGCACAAAAATACATT